AAGATATAATACATCAGATTGGAATTTTTTTATTGTTTTTGTTAAGTTTTTATAAATCTGTACATGTTACTGACTATTTGAACCAGTAAAGGTCTTAAGGATGAAGCAGAAATATACTGATATGGCAAAGAAATCCAACTTGTATGCATGAACCCTAGAAAACTTTGTGGTCTCACTCAGTCAGTGATTTCATAGAAACAAACATGACATGTCAAGAACAAATTTCTGCTGACCTAGTGAAGAATTAAACGATCACAACAATGTCAAATGGACATAATTATTCAAAACAGGACCAAATACAAAGATACAAACAACTGAAACTTAATCAGCTATGTAAGTCATTATTATAATGACTTTGTATTCTTCGTCGTTATCGATCACTAGCGACAGCGTTTCACTAGTGCAACGGTGATATGCCCTCACTGTGGAAGCTAAGCAATGCTGAGGATGGTGGCATCTCTGATAAACACATATTCTTTTGTTCGTCTTTGCACTGTGACAAACTGCGATGAATCATCCCACTTTACTGCAATTTCAACAGGAAAAACAAACAGGCGATCAGATTTTCAACGTACCGTTTGTCGTCTGGCTTGTTGTACCTCGACTTCGGTTTCCCCCTCTTCTTTCGACCTTGTTTGGCCAAAACTGTGAAGAAAAGGAACAATATATGATAGATTTTGAGAGAGAGCAGAATTCCAATGACATTATATTAAAAATTCAGAAAACACTTACCCTTTCTTGGGATTTTGGAGCTCATTTTGAGCCAAGAAAGTTCGAGCTCCCTTTTAGCATTCGTTTGAGCATGCGTATAATTCACTTCCTCTGACAGTTTATTCACCGCATTACAGCCTCGTTTCTACAAATCTTAGGCTAGTGCTGATTTAACCATAATATGAGGAACATTGAATGTGACAGGTGTGACAAACCTCATGCCACAGTTGCAATGTACGTAGAAGGGATGTGTCGATGGCATTTACATGTAATTTTGCTCTAGTTGTGTCTGCAGTACATTAACCTTTTAATTTTATTTTTAATTTTTAAGTTTATCAATATGATGATAAACTCCTTTAGTTTTAACAATTTTAAAGCTGTTTAAATGTTATCTTGCATAGCTATAGGCACAGTCCTCTGTCTTTGTTTGATTCTAAGCAACCAAGAGGGATTAATTTGAAAAGCTAAGAGAGAACATACATTTTTGACTATTGTTGTTTTTTTGGACATTCTCTGATTGAAATACGCCTGAAACCCAGAATATGGAAAGTATTGGATTGCAATATCAAAAGGAAAGTTGAAATGTGTGCCCGATTTTGAGCCGCATATAAATTCAAACTTTCCTTATAAAATTTTGCGCGGTGAACACTGTTAAAGTAGGCCTTTGTATAGTTTCTAACAAAACTGAAGATGCTCGTTGCATAGTATTTTGCTGCTTGATGACACTTTCAGTGCATTGTTAAAAATAGAATACCAGTAGTAGATTCCTGAAAATCATTTTCGATTTAGGAAAGACTCTCAAAATGCAAAAAGCAGTACCCTATAAGTAAAACGTATAAAGCAAAAGAGCTTGTAAATTGTCTGGTGATGAAAGCCTCACATTCTGAAATACATTCACATTTTGAAATAAAACCCTGGCAAATATCCGCGTCAGTGTTACTTAGTTTGTAACAAAAGAGTTTTAACTTTAAAAGGCAGTAAGATTTTTTTTTTTTTTTTTTTTATGAACGAGTTTTTACCCTTTAACCTTTTCTCGTTTTAACTCTCAATTTTAGTTCTAATTATCTTTTTATTACACTATGGTGTTTATCGTTTTATTCTCACATCTCAAACTTGGTGATTTTTATTATTGCCATCATTGTTTCACTTTTACAATTTCTGACGTATATTTTACATAGGCCTATTACCCATGTAGCTGAACAAATCAAATCATCATTACCATCATTCATAGTGACCACGACCTCAATTGAAAGGGGCCGTCATATCTAAAAAAAATCCAACGCTCGCTAAATGACCACACCATGAAGCTGAAACGGAATAACATGTTAATATCAGGGATATAATGACTCTAGACTGGTGATATTGGCTGAACGGGCAAGGAAAGCAGTTTCTTTGGCGCCTTAATCCCCAAAATAAAGCCTGCCTGAATATACATTGCACGGCAATTCTAAGAACTGACTTTAACCATGTCAGTAATTTATTAACGAGTATTTAACAAGATTTCTTATTATATACCTGTTGTTCTATTAAACCTCTTCTATTTCTGTCCACATGGCGGGTAGGCTCCACAAAATATCTCTCAAAAAAGCTTACAGTGTACGTAGGTCTTAACTTTCAGATATTTTAAAAAGGTACTCTGTACGAGATTTTCCACCAAAGCAATTTTTTCCTGCTTGCGAATCATTGCTCTAGCCGTCCCTGTACTTGGAGTCGATATTTTATTCCATTTTTATTTGAATGATTTAATTCTGAATGAGATATGACCGGCCAATCGTTTTAGCTTGGAACGCCATGTCTTCCTATTCATTTTAGAATTATGGATTTTTTTGGAATTATCCGCGTCGGGTACTTTTACTGGGGTTTTATTGTTTTAAGATCTGAATTGAAAAAGATCAGAAACTAGCTTTGCAGGATATGTAGACATACAAATGACTTTTGGACATTTTCAAACATATAGTAGACATTAATGAGACAAAAATTTTGCCTTCGGGAAATTTTTGAAATGTTGAAATACTAATTGGCCAAACATATTAATCAACGATCTCTCTTACCTTCTTTCTTTCTCTCTCTCTCTGACATTATAACCAGGTAAAGTGTACCTAAAAGAACCATTGATCAAAAAGGCCCTACTGGGATTCGAACCCAGGATCTCCTGTTTACTAGACAGGCGCTTTAACCAACTAAGCCATAGAGCCGATGGCGTAGCTCATCTTATGTCATGCCATATGGCTGACAATTTGGTTAAATAGATCCTTGTATAAAAGGCCAACAAAGAACCCTATCAATAATAACTTTGTCGTGAAAGACATACTGGTGATTAAATTGAACTGTTTGATATAAAAAAAAACTTTATTAAAAATAAACCCCATAACCCCTGGTTAATGAAAATTGGCAGATCCAAGTTTTTGCTAAGGTGGGAGAGGGCGCGCAAAGATAAAAAACATCCTTACTTCATTCGGCAAATCTAAAAAAATATACAAGGCCAATTTTTCTTTTATATATCCGACACATAGTGAAAGGATGAAAATTTTTCTTATCGCCCGGTTTACTTTTTTGGGGATGGGAAAAGATGGTACTTGTTGTACATTCATTTCTAAGAGAAAGGCTCACGGCCTTCTGAGCATATCATATCATTTGGCATTTGTTTTTATAAATGTTTCACGTCATACTAGACATTGCATGCGCTTACATATATATGTTACTCATCAACAAGATACCTGTGACTTCCACTCGTGCCTAGCACTCTTGCACCTCTTTAAACATTCAGATAGTGCTAATTAATGACAGAACTCATTTCTACCGGAATTTACCCACCCCTGGTTGATAATCAGTGGACGAACATAACGTGGGGCTTTTATTCTAATCTTAAGCACACTTGATCCATTGTTAAAATCTCGTTTCATTTTCGGAATTAACATTCCTTGCCTTTGCGGGCACTGCATGGAGTTAGGCCTCGTTCCCATAGACAACATCGGTCTATGTGGGTCGACCCAACTCTGCTGTGACTCTAGCTGTCTGCAATCAGCTTAACTGAAAAATAATGCAAAAAGTTAAAATAAACACATCGGTAGAAACTACCTGAAGGCCTGCAAAAAAACGGATAACATCTCAACGGTACCGGTACCGGATCGATGCGATACTAATTAAAAAAAAAAACGTGACAATATCATAATTATTAATTAACTTGTGTGACTGAGTGTTTTGCGATAGCCTGACTTAAGCTGAGGTGCAGTCATGCGGTTTTCATCATAACGATACGTCCTTATTGTCTCTTATGATTCAGGATAAACAAGATCCTCTTGAATATATCTTGAATATTCACTTATCTATTTTAACACGTCCCGGTAACTCCCCACAACAACATGCGCTATTTCACACCTTATGCTAGAAAGTTAGCCCCAGCCCTCTGCCAAGGCCACAAATGGATTTTTATCTAGATATTCACAGATATATGTCTCAAGCTAATTCGATGCACATTTCTCCAATGTGAAAAAAGTGCACATGATTAATCTGCAGCCCTGGTAGAGGGTAGTTAGCCCACTTTTTTATATAATCTAGTAAGACATATTACGCAGTGCCGACGACGGCGACGACTGTCTCGGTTTGTTTCCATTTAATTACGGAAGCATACCTCGCTCATATGTACTCAATGCACGGCAGTGTTGTGACTCCCCCCCCCCTGCCCCCCCCCCCCCTCGGCCCGGCTTGCGAAAATGTAGAGCATATGGAAACCTGTTTCTCTTTTGTTTCACATTGCATTTTTAACTACGCTGCTTCTGTCTATTAATAAAAAAATTCAAAATAGACAGCCCGTTTTCCATTGCAAAAGAAATTAGTATATGATTGATCATTTTTTCATCATTTTCTTTTTTCTTTTTTTTTTCTTTTTTTTATTCCTGTTTTTAATTTTTTCATTAGAAAAATAGTACGTGTATGCAATATCAGGACGATAGATTCCTCTTCAGGGAGAGAAAGAGAGATAGAGGAAGAGAGGTCAGAGTTCAGCATACAGTCTGATCTTGGAAGAAAAAAAAAACGTTTTATTCGTCCAAGGCCTGAGGCAGACTCTCTGGCTAGGACAGGAAGCAATAATGATTGAAGATGACACAAGTTAGTTCAGGTAATCTATTTTGCCATGAGGAAGGTAGGGCCACAAGTTGAGTAAGTAGCTGTATGAGTCATATTAGATATATGTTGCTGTCAGCTCGGCGGTGTAACGGAAAACACCAGAAGCGCTAATATTGCGTAAGCGCAAAAATCCCATTGAAATTTCATTGCTCAATGAAACGCTGATCATTGGCACGTTCTAAGAAATATGGGACAGACAGGTTTTGGTGCAGCGCTTGAATAACACTCCCTTTTTTTACCTTCCTCTTTATATAAAAAGGCGCTCTATTATAAGCAACGAGACAAATAAGTAAACATATGCTCATAGGCAATATAATAACACACTGGTAGTTTTAAAAACAAAATATTGGAGCTGCCTGACCTCGAGGCGTTTGAAAGTAAATAACGTTATCGAATCCTCACACAGAGAAGTGTGCAAAATCATACTACGGCATACCTGAATAAGGTGGAAGATTAAACTGTGGAAGATAGCGCCATATAGCAAAAGGTAAGATGCTCACGAGAAAAGGAACTTGTTGAAGTGCTGTTGAAATGAGTAGTCTTGTATAGTATTAGTTGGCAATTTATTACTGATTAATTGACGTTATGAATTTTCGATGTCGGTTTTTATGAGAAATATTGGCTAACGGTGTGGGACGAGTAAACTTGGCCGTAGATCTCATAGGAATCTGACGTCTACTATGTGACATGGAAGACTTTTTGGGAAATATTTTTTATAAATTTAACAAACTAAAATGCAGTTTTAAGTACACTGTGAGGTCTGACATTGAGACATGTGACACCACTTTCAGCAAGTGACCTTTTCGTAATTTCTATTAAATTGTCGGACACAAAGATTGATAGCCAATGTTTTCGCCGGTTTTACCAGAATGTATGTGACCATCAATCCTTTGTAAATTACTTTGTCCCCCCCCCCCCTCCACACACACACAAACACACACACACACACACACATTCTTCTTCTCCCACCGGGTAACCAGGTATTCAAAATACTGACTAAGCATAGTACAAGTGCTGGTGTTATCGCAATCTTACATCAAAGTATGTCAACCTTTGGCCTAGTTGACATTTTTCCAAGTCAGTAGATTGACTTCCCAAGGCCAGCAGAATTGGTTTCACTTCGCTTTCAAAAAGGCGAAGAATTAGTAGGCTACTATGATTTGAGAAAGGTCAACCAGCTACTAATGGTTTTTTTTAAATTACTTAATTTGATATTATTCTCTTAATATTAATTGGGGCATAAACAAACAAACAAATAAATAGGTAAATAATTATGAAGTTATATTGGCTTCCTTTAAGGCAATTTTACCAGTATGAATCGCGTTGATTTCGTTGATACGAAGTCGATTGTTTCTGACATCTCTACAATACCACCACCCCTCCCTCTTTCACGAATAAAAAATAGTAAATAAATGTATCCTGTTGGTGCCTCACGTGATTTCCACCAGCTGTGACAGTATGTCTTATGCATAAACGTAGTAACAGTGCTGTCAGCGGATTTCAACTGTTGTATTTTGAAATTAAAATTAGTGCACGTGTAGACTTTAATTTATCACACATCACGAGTGTAACTCATTGTGCAAAGCGGCAAATAAAGCATGTATATATAGTGCCATTCTGTTTCTACTCGTCTAACAACCGTCTGCTTTTACAAACGATTGAATATTTTACAACAAATGATCGATATTTTATTTATTTATTTATTTATTTATTTATTTATTTATTTATTTATTTATTTTTTTTTTTTTTTTGACTGTTTAAATGCGATGCTGACTCAGCGACATTGGCCTAAAACGTCCAACAAACCGATATCAGTCTTAGTTAACGTACCTAAATTGTCACCAATATTAGTAAAAATCGCTTTTTTATATGCCGAAAAAGTGACACGTTAAATGTGTATGTGTAAATCGGTAAATAAAATGGAGAAAAAAGTATTAGTTGTTTAAAAGTATGACTTTCTTCAGACAGTTGTATTTTCGTCTAACCGTTAAAGAAAGGGGGGTGATGGTGTGCATTCGGTGATGACAGATATAAATAACTAATTTCTCTCGGTTTTCATGCATAGAATTTACCCACCAACCAACATTATTTCAACTGCCAAACCTGAAGATTCTTTTTTATTTAATACAGCCTTTTCTTCACTTGGCTTCATTTTCTGTTAGATATGTATATTTTCCGCATTTTTATCTCCCGTTGTAAATGCGAAAGCTGCTCCCCGCTGTAACTTAAAATGATAAAGTATCTTTTTTTTTTTGTCTATTTAATTCATTGTACTCATTTATCTTATTTTGCCAAAACCATACCAATTAATGCAAAAATAAGGCTAAATGTAATGAGTGATGAAAATTAGGCCTTCGGTCATCTAAAAATTTTATCCAGGACATTAAATTCTAAAATTTAAACATTTAACAATGTATACTTGCAATTAAAATTTTCATGTGCGGCTTCTCTTATCTATTATTATTATTATTATTATTATTATTATTATTATTATTATTATTATTATTGCAAAAACCAAGCATTTCTCTGTATGTAAGGTTAAATGAAAAATGCCATGAAAACTAAATAAACCATTCAGATTTTGGTCCTCTCATTATAACTCCTCGTGGATATAGAAATCTAAAATTTGAACCTACATGTATAAAACTGTACTTAAGTACATATACTAAATTGAATTTAAATTTAAAATATTCATGTGCGGCGTCTCTCTTTTCGTCAGACTGGTACCACTTGTGTTCCCCAAAATATGCAGCCCCTGTATTTAGTCGGGTACAATGTCAAACACATAAAATTTCCAGAAAAGTTTACACAAGAATAAATGCCAGCCATAGAAAAATGTGCAAGTGTGGCCACCATTCATTATTGTTTTACAGGGATTTATTACTATGCCCCAAAAGCACGCCGCATGCACCAAGAACTACTACCTTAACCTATTATAATATACTTTACAGATATCAGGAAAAATGTCACACAACAACTGGCTCTTGCTTGCTGTCGTCTGCTTCACTCTGAGTGCTGCAGCACATGCAAAGCCGTCATACCAGGAACAATGGCGACTTCAATACCATTTCAGTCCCGAAAAGAATTGGATGAACGATCCAAATGGACTTCTATACTACAGAGGAAAATATCACTTGTTTTATCAATACAATCCTTTTGGTAAGCATTCCATGTTTAATCTTTCGTTTGATTTAGTTTCGACAAAATTGATGAAAAATTATGTATGCGTCCCTAAGACGAACTGTTGGACTATTACGGAATTGTTATTTATTTTCAATACAATGGTTTTAGAAAGCATTCCATTTTAAAAGTATCGGAGATATAACATTTGCGGGTTCTCTTCGTTCGTTTTTTTAACCTTTTGTCTTTTTTTTTTTCTGTTAAAATGATGGCTGGCAAGTTGAAATGTCAACGTAAATCAATGTCCCTGTCATATGGTATATTAAACGAACCAACATATTTCGAATATCAGAAAAGTCAAGCACACTTTAAAAGATAAAGTGCACTTGACTTTTATTCAAATAACGTGGTATTTTGGACCTGTCCAACTGAACTTGTTACAGTGAAGTTTAAGAACGCTACATACTGTTGATCATGAACACTTCTTTATCGAGAGCAAGGCTCTGTTCACAAGTTGAAAGCCGCCCACGTAATGGTAGTGGATTCTCCGCGGATATCATGCGGCAAGCTTTCAAGTGGGTCGGCCATATTTGATCCGCATATCAGTTAGTTTGCGGATCAACTGAGTTGTGAACAGAGCCCAAGCGCACGTGGGGAGTGCATAAAGGGTGGCAATGAATACCAATTTAAATTACGTGTATAAATCCAGGTATCCGCTGGGGTCACATGAGCTGGGGTCATGCTGTCAGCGAAGACCTTGTTCATTGGGAACATTGGCCAATAGCCATCCCCGAGACAGGTGACATCATGGCCTTCAGTGGGAGTGCCGTTGCTGACGTCCACAATACATCCGGGTTCTCTAGAAACGGTGCCGTGCCCTTGGTGGCTATATACACCGGATATAATAGGTAATGTAAAAAATAACAGGGTTGATACCAGGAACTAAATTGCCTTTCTATAGAAAAAAACTTGTTATCTTTAGAGTACTATTTATGACTCTTTCAATTATCTAGGAAATATTAAGTCAACGTTTCAGTTGATGCTAGGATCCAAAATAATATGTTATGATAGATCTTTGGTGATGGAAACGGGATAGGGGCTAAAAACAAGGGAACAAAAATGTATTGACAATTGCATTGTTATCATTTGTTATTTGTGGCAATCATTACATTTCATTAGCTCGAAGGCCGCTAATGAGAAACAGGACCAGCGCCTGTCCTATAGTTTGGATGGTGGGCGAAGCTGGACGATGTACGCTGGAAATCCCGTTCTACAGATAGAAGAACACCACTTCCGAGATCCGAAAGTGATTTGGTATGAGCCTTCACAATCCTGGATTATGCTAGTTGCAAAAGCCAGAGACAATATTTTTCAGTTTTATTCTTCTCCAAATCTAAAAGATTGGACGTATATGAGCGACCTTGGCCCGAACGGAACAATACCGACAGGTATGCCATTAATGATAATCCGTTTTTTTTCTTAATGAACATATGAATGCTGACATGTATCAGTTCTACCTTAAGCGATCAAAAACATTTCCGACAAATAGGCCTACCGTACATTTTATTCTTCTTGGATGAAGGTATTTTTGTGAATAAAACGCAGCGTTAAACAATTCATCGTTGTAGGTGAATGGGAGTGTCCAGATCTCTTCCCTTTAAACGTCACAGGAGAGACGGGTGTGCAAAAATGGGTGTTACCTATATCAGTGGGCAAAGACTCCGTTCCGCGCAGAGGAGTAATGTATTTCATAGGTACGTATATTCTAGCTTAAATTAATCTAAATGCCAAGATACATGTATAGGTTTTATTTGATGTGTAACGAGGTTGTGTTTTTTACAGGTGAAGGACAAGATATTTTAGATTGTTTCGGTCACAAAATTTTATTCGCTGTAAACAGTTGTCATTGCGAACTGTTGAGAAACGGTTACAGATCCTTTCAACATATATTTTTAGGTTCCTTCAATGGAACTCACTTCACGCCCGACGAACCTGTTGCTAAATATTTGGACTTTGGAGAAGATTTTTATGCCGCAAATTCGTGGAATAACTTTGTCGATGGCAGACGCTTGTGGATGGGTTGGATGTGGTATGTAGATATATTTCTTAGATGTCTAGATCGGAGAGGCCTAATATGGGCAAAATGATAAAAGATGCACCGTAAAAGCCTCCTTAGTTTTCTGCTAAAACTGCAAAACCATAGCCGGCAACCAAACCCACGGGTGCGTTGACTGGTATTTTTTGTTAACATGCCCTTATAGAATTGCGTGTTGACGGGGGGATGGGGTGTGTGGCGATGAACTCCCACTAAATTCAGCCCTAGTTAACAGTCTGCACTCTGGATATGATAATTGTTCTTATTAACAGCACATCGGCTGCGATAGTTGAGACGAGTAAAACTCATAACGTGAATGAGCTCCCATCGCATCTTATGTGATAGATAAAATTCTGACTAGTACAAGGGGTCATGCAGCTTTCTTTTCTTTTTTTTTCCCTTGGCGCACATTACCTTTGTCGTTAACATTTGTATCTGTGGCTTAGTAAATTATGGCTATAGATTGTAAGTTTTTTCAAATTATATGGTCGATCATTTGTTATTGGAGATCCATACTATGTTGTCCTTATTCTTTTATTTGTACTTTGATATATGGAAATCTTTTACACACTATTTGGAAAATCGTAATGCAATAATAAACAAACATGTTTTTGGAGCGAAACATTCTCTGGTTGAAGAAGGACATACTTTTGCCCTCGGTTTAATGAAGATTATATTGTCATCAAAGAAGGTTTATTGTGCTTTTTAGTCACAAACATCAAATTTTATCATTCAGTTCGTGGAGATACTGCCAGGATATAGAAACAAACCCGTGGCGAGGAGCCCAGACCATGGTGCGTGTTCTTTCGTTGGAGAGAGAGAACGGCGGCGACATTGTACTCCTTCAGAAACCCATCAAAGAAATGGGAAAATTGAGGACCGGCGTAGAGTGGAAATATAGAAATACCGATATTACCACCGTACGTATGCTGTATAAGTCTTCGTAATTTAAAAACGAAAGTATGGTAATTGTTTTTCATCTTGGTATTTTAATGTCAGCTATGCATAAGCACAAAGGCTACTTTAAAAAGCCATTGTAGTCTGAAAACTGTTTACAGCCAAATGTGAAGATAATGAGGTAAAATATATTAAAACGTTTAAAACACAAGTTTCAGAAACGCTGTTCAAACGTTTACATTTAGAAGATGACACTTTCATTTTATCTGAAAGGTGAAGCAAAAATTGACCACTGATAAAGTCCATGGACGGTTATTGGAGGTGAAAGCAGAATTCAAACCGAAAGCCGGGACAGAAAAAGTAGGGTTTAGCATCCTTCAAGGCCCAATTGAGGAAACGCTCGTGGGCTACAACCACGTGAACAAAACCGTCTACGTCGATAGGAGTCGCTCTGGTTTTATAGACCCCAGGATGGGTACGATAGATGTCGCTAAAGTTTACCTTCAAGGCGGCATTTTGAACCTTCACTTTTTCGTTGACTGGTCATCAGTGGAGGTATTTGCGAATGGTGGTCGTCAGGTGATCACAAATCGAGTTTTTCCGAATAAAACCGACGACGGCTTTGGTGCTTACGTCATAGGGAGCGATATTGAAGTGGTCAATTTGGAGATATATGAATTGAAGACCACATGGCAGAATTATTGGACCACGCCTTCTCCTACCACTACGAGTGGCGCTGCGGCTTTGTTTTTAGTCACATCTGGACACTCTGTTGTGTTTTTATGTTCAGTAGTTATTACGGTGTTTCAGTATTTAATTGCTTAGGGATTGTTTGATAGTGTTGGTGTCTATCTGCATTAGTCGAGTTGCCACTCACACGGGTCCCAGTTTTTATAAAAAATAATAATAATACAGGAAAACACATTGCGGGATTAGGGATTTGGCAGTTGGACTATATATACGAGCACTGACAACACATACAGTATTCCGTGTAAAGACGTACTTTGCTATACCCTTGTGCTTTAGTTTACTAATGGTGTGTTATTCATATCTTCAATATGGGATGTGTCATCTAAATCTATATAATAACTAATACTATCATTTCTTTTTCTACCACGACCGATCCAGAACTGTAATAATAATCTAAATAATTTTTTTATTTCTCATATATTTTGTACGTCCGTCATATCCCCACGCTGTCTTTTAATAAAGCATTTTAATGTATATGGTAAAAAAATTGTCACTACCACAGTACAGAAACGTTATACAAGTCATAGTTTTTTATAAAAATGTCCATGTTGGGATCAGACTCTGGAGCTTTCCTTTTGCATGTTCAAACGAGGAACGTGTTATTGCTGTGATTAATTATTTGAATAAAAATCATGCGGCTTAGGCTGACAGAAAATGGACGCTCAGTAAATGTTTAGAAAAATAATGATACAAAGGAGGGTATCTGTTTTGCCACCGTTAATATTATTATTATTATTATTATTATTATTATTTCTTTTCTTCCGCACTGAATATGTAAAATATGGGAAGAAACATCCACTACTGTCGGTAGTTTTCGCTGAAAATTAAACAAATTGGCAAAGAAAATGATAGGCTGTAGGAAAACAAAAACTCGTAATAATATCTTTTTATATTCCCTCCGCTCGAAATCTTTCATATGATGCTGTTCAATAAGTATGTACAACCACCTGGCAAAAGTCAAAGGAGGCGAAAATGAACATCAAAATAAAGCGATCTCTGTGAAAAAAACATTGATTAATCTAATTCAATATCAAATAAATGCGTGTATTTACTAAAATACACATTACATTATTTTCGTGCCTCCGTAAATTATAAAGCAATACTCCCGCGCGATAATCCCTCAATATCAAACATATTACTCTTGCATAAAATTAATATTGACGAAATGTACCTCCTGGCACGTAAAAATTGTTCTACCAGTTGCGATGGATGTCCTTCTGCAATTGTGGTTCCAACTTGTAAAATAGATTCTAAACCCTAGTCGATACAACCCCCGCCATATACTTATACGCATAGGTTGTAGGAGGTTGTGTTCCGCACTGTGGAACTCCATTCCTAATTGTTTGACGTGTCTCAAAGCTCCTTCCGCTATGGCCGTCTGTAAGGACATCCACTCGTGACTTTCAACATCAATCTTCAAGTAGTCTAACGTTTTCTGAAGAACAATGAAACGTTGCTCGATTGAAAACAACAGAAACTAATTTCCTGTGCCAAAACAAAACAAAAGTTGATGATAGATTTACATAATACAACCGAATATGCCGAGGCCTATGCAATTGTTTGAGTTAATAATGATATAGTAAGTTTATTATAACATAGCAACCAAAAGGTTGAAGTTGTACAGAAAGTAAATTAGATTAAAATTTACAAAATGAAATATTTAAAAAAGGAAAGTATACACAATAAGACCAAAATGAGTTCGAAAATAGAACACAGACCTCTAAGAGTTTGATAAAGAAAAAGGGATTGAGGTGTTTTCTGAAACGTAGGCCTAAGGCTCCTAATTTTGGTACACTGAAATTTGACCAAAATTCAGGACCGAACGTTTCAAAAACTGTTCGCCAACTGACAACAATTTTCGCTGAACATATCAAAGTATAAAAAGATATTTCAAGAATTTTAGCGCCTGGAAGTAAGAAGGACATTCTTTTGTGCCCAATGAGTCTAAAGATATGGTCCGCAGAATAAAGGCCGTGAAAAGGACGGGTCTATCTTGTAAGTAAAGGCGCCTTTGAATTCTACTACATGTCCTTACCTCGCGATGGCCCAGCTTGTTCATTATTGAACCCAGTGTCTTCACAGTCCATGGCACCTTCTTTTTAGTAATCACACTGTTCCGCCCGAAGATTCCCAGATTGTGGAAATTTACGTACTTACTACGTTTATGATCCTTTTCTCCTATACTGAAAATATAAGTAAAGGGTCCCTCATAAAAACTGAACGCCGAAGATAAAATTAAGGCAGTTAAAAATATTTAAAAGAATAAAATGATGACCAATAATTTTGGATATATTCTCATGGCCATTTTTATATGGCTGAATTTGGTTTCATTTTCACTGTACTTTCTTCAAGTTTTCCAGACCTTTTGTTCTGCTCAGATTTGTTACACAGTGTCTCTTTTGAGCATTCACCAAGAAAATTTTTTCATTGGCGTCACCTGGAGATTGTTTCGTACTGATTGTTTAAGCCAGGCATATGGATGGTTGTGTGGATCGTTTTGGTGTAGTTTTGGGGGAAAATAAATATATTAATTTTTAAATGTTTTATTAATTTTTGCAAGAATGTATTCACCGAGATAATTCTGTACTATAAATGTAATTGTTTTGTATGTGGACAAACCTTGGATCAAAGGAATGAACTTCACAATGGAAAACATCGCCCATGTAGTCATCAAACGTCCAATCTCTGGCTATCCTGCAAATGTCAAACAAGCGTGGTTAACGACCGTACATGCCAAGTGTGAGCATGTCAAGATTCGGAGTGAAATTTCGCCTCTCATCCTGCGGCTCTCATTATACAAGGTGGATGAAATTTAAATGAATAATTGTGAATTAAAAGTCACTTATCTTTGAATCTTACTCTAAAAAGGATCATTTTTATTATGAATAAGATATTTAAACATTTCCTATGATAATACAGGTGCCATGCGTTGGTTGTTTTTACTGAATAGCTTTTGTAACATCCCAGTGACACTCAATACTGGGAGGAATCGTTTTGCGCTCTCTTGAATTCTTGCAGTCAATAAAATATACAACACAAAACATGGGTTTAAATTACTGCTTAGTGGAATCACTCATATACATTATATAAAATTACCGTTCCTGTTTCTATGGTTTTTCATATGCATATAGCCATAACACTTTTTTGTATTATCAAAACCCAAAAAAAATACTGACCCAAATGAATACACTAGACAGGCATCTTTCTTCATGTCGTAAGGTGGATCTAAGCAGACCTCCCAGCCTCCCTCGGGATCTCCACCTGCTCGGATACGGTTGCGGCAGTCAAACTGGATATTGTTCAGATACCTAATGTATAATTACGTTAACATATGTTAAGATACTTCATGGTATATTACCACTTCATGGGATAAATGCTCTGATTTTTAGTAATTCTTATCCTATGAAGTGGTAATATACCATGAAGTATCTTAACATACGTTATATTGGTAATATGGGTGAAAAGGCAACAAACAATATTATTTCTGTGATTTAATACAAACAGTATTGCCGCCTTAGCCAGGTTAGCCAGGTTTCTACACTTGCCTGAAATCAGGCACATATCTTAAAGGTATACATTATGGTCCCTTAGCGTGCAGTAGTTATTCTGCTAAATTATGAATAAGAATTTGCGCTTTCCTCCGCGAAGCCAAGCTGTTGCAGTGTCTTTTTCACCATCAGCTGTGCTAACAGTTGTTTTTGGTCATGATAAAAAATTGATGACTTTCATTGATTTTTGCTTATGCGAATAATCCGAAACTTTATAGTAGCATGGTACGACAGGAACGATTAAATGTATATGTTTGAAGGCAACAGGACGATTTCAGTTATATCATTTTAGTATTTTTAAAATCTACTGATTTTAGAACATATTTTTGTAAAGGAAAGAAAAACATAAGCGTTATTTTTCACGCCATTCCTCCTCGGGAACAGTGTAAAACAAATGTGTATTGATAAAACAAAAATACATCATGCACCGCCCTGAAATTTAACTCTAATCGGAACTTAAAGAGATACGGTAAAAAATGGCCCCATACATAGGTCTACTTGGATCGACCCAACTCTGCAGGGATTCTCGTTGAATGCAATCAGTTTAACAGCTTAACAAGCCTCCTCCTGGCGTAAAGTAGAATTTAGAAAAGCTGGTGATATTACAAGTACGTTGGAAACAAGAGAAGGTGTGTCATTCAGTTAGCACTAAGCGGGAGTCCCCGCAGATTTTGGGTTTTCTATGGGGTCATAAACATTAATAAAATTTAGTGACAATGAGGGAATTTTTTTTATCGAAATAAAACAAATTCAAAGCATTTCAACTTCAACAGTTTCATGAACATCAACATTTGATATCATTCTGACACGATTTCAATGACAAGTAGGAGGAAAAGAATCATAGAGGATAATTGAAGATGATCTGGAAAACACATGGTTGCAATAGTAATAATCAATCAATTAGTGTCATTGAGCATTAAGGCAAAAATATCGAAATGCAAAAAAAAAATCATGTTATGTCATGTTTCATTGCATAATTTGCGAAATGAAAAAAACCAGATCTCTTCAAAACCAATTAAAATACACTCCAACCTCACCATGTTTTATTAAGTTGCTTTCCATTCACATTATGAGACATTACCTGAAAAAGTCTCTCTCTAGTTTATCATACGCTTCCATCGACATATTCATATTTGTGATAAATTCTGGGGCGTCCTTGCCTTCTAGTCTGTCTGTTTGAATCACAGGATCCTTGATTCGGAATACATGTGACCCTTCAGTCTGGAAAAAAATTGCAAAATAAAACATGTATGCCCAGGGTCTTAGTTCCACAACCACTTTAGTAAGTGTGTGTGTGTGTGTGTGTGCGCGCGCGCGCGCGCAAAATATTTGTTAATTATTTTGTATATACCCTTTTGTAGACTTTTAATTGATCGGTCCATCATATCTTATCCTAATAAAAAAGAAACATTATCTACGTGTCTATGGAAACAGACCTATGGCTTACCCTTTTGGACGGTTTATACTCCTGTGCGCAGAGCAGACCGGACCATGATCCTATCATGACGAAAAGAAGAGAAATTCCCGCACACATTGCTATCCATGTTAAGCAGTTGGTGAAATTTTTCTCGATTTGTCTTGTCCAGCGGAACTTCACCATAACGTATTTTGTTCTTTTTCTTCAAGTCAATTAAATGTCCGCTATGTAACGTGAGATAAAATATCTATTTGTGAAACGTCACTCGGTTGTTGCAAACGTGCCACGTGGTAGCTTACTCGCCAACTCTGACTTTTCAGATTAAGCAAAAATCATTATCGCATTTTTGAATATGCATCGTCGGATGGCTAAATAGGCCTTCGAATAAATATTAATATGCAGCTGCCATTGTGTAAGTTCCGCATGCAGTTGTCCCATTATGAGATACCACGCACGTCGCACCAACTGACTTTGACAGATCCAATCTGAATCGGTGTAAATGGCGCAGATTCCATCACAATCCGGCGTTCTTAATTTTCAGAAGAAGAATACCTTCCCTCTTTCTTATAGGCACCATGCGGTAAACAATGTCGCTTGATTACAATTAGCACTGCTAACGGCAATTCGATAACAGGCCCGTAACCAGCAGTTTCAAAGGACGGGGGCTCTTTTTCTGAAGCAGTGGACTTCTTAACATGAAACCTTTGTGTTCCTAGATCAATTGGACCCAATGCGGACTTTTTCGTGGCAAAAAGATGTTTCGTTCGACCCCTCCCTAATTAATTAACTAGCAGCTTCAGTAGGCGTCTCAGACATCTAATCCGCTTTAAACTGAATGCAAATTAACGACAATCCAATCGGAGATGGGTCGATCCTGCTAGATCGATCTAGGTATGGGGACGGGGTCGACAGCGACGTAGATTGCAGCCAAACAGCAAACAAGGCGCAGAATGCATAGTTTATTTAAAATATAAGAACAAATTTTGATTATTTGCAACAGGGTTATCAATAATAAGGCGAGAACTAAGTTTTTCTGGAAACAATATTAAGTGATAAAAATAGTCTCTTCAAACATCAGCTGAAATTACAGTCTTTTCTACCCTAATATTTATGTGATTAAATAAATAAATAAATAATAATAATAATAATAATAATAATAATAATTGCAAATGGGTTATGGAATCAATTAGTTTTAAAAAACCATGCTACTTGAAGTTGGGCAGCATCCACGTCAGTTTCGGAGGCTATACTGAAAAGTTTTTTCTTTACTGACAGTCATGTTTCTACATGCAGTCAAAGAAGCTGTAAGATATGCTGTTTCAAGTCTTTTGTCAACCTACTTTCACCCTGAGCTTCAAAGATAACTTGAAACTCTATAGTATACCCTTGTCGTTTCAAGTTACGGCAAGGGTGTGCTAAAGTGTGCAGGTTCGTTTCAAGTTATCTCTCAAGTTATCTCTTTCCAACATTTGATGTTTGTGTATGTTACAGACGAACTTCCATGTTTATTAACTTATTTCTTATATATGCTAACACTGACCACAGGCACGTAGCCAGGAGCTCGACGACACGGCCATTTTTGCAGGGAAAAGGTCTGCTCTGGGTGAAATTTGATCTTGGCACACGACGGTTTCGTGGTAAAAGGTCCACTTTTTCCGCAAAAGAACTCTCTCTTTTGTAATTGTTGGCTACAAGCCAGAACCATGTTGTTTCTCAAGTTCACTTCTGCTCATTATACGTAGCGCTAGCGGTACGTCCTGGCGACGATTGTTCAAAGGACCGCGCTATCAATCAGTGATCAGTTTAAATCTGTCATTTTTTCAAACCACAAGTAATTATCGAAACGATTAACCAGATAGACTGAATATGATCAAATAAGTTGGGGTTAAAAAAACATCTGCGCATTTATTGTGAACAAACACCTAACGGTTATTGCCGGAGCTAATTTTAAGGGATAAAAACTGTTCATTTTGTCAAAAAAAATAGATTTTCCTGTTCCAATCTCCCCATACTTACCAATGGTTATAATCCATTCCAACTTTTGTGTGTGTGTGTGTGTGTGTGTGTGTGTGTGTGTGTAAAAAGTGTTTTTATAATTGCCTGTTTAGAGATTATTACAGAAGGTACAGCCATCCATGGCAGTCACATGGTCCGATGGCATGCACAGATTCCAAAATAATTGTGATAACTGCCGTTTTGTTGGTAAAATATAATTTATTATATTTCTACGAGCCGTTTACAATGTATTTATCAAGAATTGTGGATCTCATGGGAAGAGCAGTTGTCCCTTGAATAACCATGAAATTCTGTGGAAAAACTCATGCCTGTGACACAGACCAACATGAGTAGGCTACATTCAATATTCATTTTCTCACATAAAATGAAAACAAAACCACAAAATATGAGAAAATCAACAATTTATTTCTAGTTTGCACAACACATAACAAAGTACAAGACCAAAAAAATCAATTAAGTACATTTTGTAAAACATTTAAAGCTCAATTATGCAAGCCCTTATTTCAAGGTACCAGTATATTTCTATGGAACATAAAAAAAGAGGGAAAGTAAAGATATTGTTTCTTTTTACTCAATCATCAGCATACACCAAATGAGCTGCCCGAGGCAGGACCTCCAGTAGTGGTCTCACCGTGTATACCTCACAACCAATGTGAAAACTTAAAATAATATTTGGGACATGTACAAGATGCCAGCCTCTCCTTAAATAAGACAAAAAGGTGTAGTAGCATTATAAATACTGCAAAATAGATATGTCTGAGGAAATATTGCTAAACATCCATCCCAAGTACAAGTAGATGTCTAACAGTGACACTGCTGCCTGCAATGAGTAGCTTCTACTCTGATAAAATCACTCCATCCTCTGTTGCTGATAATAACTTAATTCTTGCATGGGACCTTGCTTAGATATCTGTGAAGATCTTAATGTGGCATTTGTTCATTATAAATGCTTCACATATTTCAAACATATCACATATTTTTGTACTCCAATTTAATGTCCGATGTTTCTTGTTATAAAGGCTCAGCATGAATTATTCTTTCTTTACAAGCACCTTTACTAATCATGATTGCATATTTCCCCAGTCTATTCCTAAACAGACTGAGGGAAGGGGGCAATGGAAATTCCCTTTCCTATTTCATATGTTTGATCCAACATTTCTGATATAATATGTAATACAAAACCTAATAAATTATGAATTATACCAATTAATACAAAATTTGCTTTAAGTTAAATTACCTTTTAAATTAAGTTAAATTACCTTTTTCCTTTTGCTTATTATAAATAATGTAAGTATCATCAATAACAATACTTTGCAAATAAAATTTTGTTCTCCTTTTCTTTGGCCCAAGTAAATTTATGAATGCCGTGAAAGAATTTTGCCTTGAACATTCACAGTCCTCCTCATTTCTTGACTTAAATAGGGACCCCAATTGATCTGAAAACTCAAGTTGGTTATATTTCACTCAAGGCAATGGGAACTAACATGGGCATTTGCTGCCACTCTCTTCTACTGGTTCTTGTGGTCGTATCCTGAATGCTCTCCCAGCGCCATCTCCAGTATTTTGCGACTGCATCATGCTATGGTCAAAGTCTACATGACGTACCAACATGTCTTCCAGTAAACATCTACAAAAAATAACCGTTTATTATAAAGGTGAAAAGAAACGTAAAGATGCATTTGAAGTCAACTTTTTGCCACTAAAGACCACCAAATGCCACCATATAGTTTTAATTAGTATAACTTGAAATGCCAATGGGTCATTGATTCACCCTTATGAAAAGTCCTATAGGATCCTATAGGAAATTGGGCCAATTTCCTATAGAATCCTATAGGATCTTATAGGATCCTATAAGACTTTTTCATAAGGGGATCATACATGTATTACCTAAAAAATGATATTTGAACAGATTTTTGCTTGCTTTTAATGGTGTACAGTGTATATAAACAGGGCAGATGAGTAGCCAGACAAGTAGGTCAAATGTACGACTAAATATGTGAAGAAGGTGTAGTTTAAAGCTCTTTTGATAGCTTACTGAGTAATTTATTCAGATTATCTCTTAGCATTTAGACTTTATTTGAAAAATTCAAGAAACTAGTAGGAGTGGCTTATATGTGTTAAAGGGAATCAATGCTCTACCTAGGTTCAGTCCAAATGTTCAAATCAGTCCAAATGTTATTTTAGGTAACCATACGTAATATTTGGCATGTCATTAATTATTAAAAATGCCTGGGGGAACATGGAAAGTCATTAATATTGCCCATAATTTTCTTTAATTTGAAATAAAAATCTAAAAAACAAACAAACAAAAAATAATAACAATAATAATCTGATTTTGCAGTTTCAAGCCCTGAAAAACAAATGGGTAATTCTAAATAAATATGTCGATGTAGAAAATATTTTACAAATAATTGGGTTACAAAGTGTATAAATTAAAGATTTACAGTCTCATTTCATAAATCATTTTCTTTTTATTTCTTAGAAACAATATATCTCTAGAGCAACTGCCCAAATATTTGTGCAAAATATTTTTATCCCCTCTCTGTGGTTAAATCAACAGATAAAACAATAATCAATAAATTTACCAATTTTTATATTGATCATATTCAAATGCCCAGTCAATCAATACTCCAAATGCATTCATCTATCAACAATTTTCAATTATTAACAGAGAATTTAAGTTTTTTTAACTCATACCTCATGGACTCTTCTATCATGATATTCTCCTTCACTGAGATCTCTTTCCAGTCTAGAAATTCATTTTCTTTGCACATAGTTTCTATTTCCTCCTGGTCTACTTTGCGCTGTTGGTGGAGATCACACTGAAAACAAAGCCATATGCATTCACAAACGTGCATGGTAGACATGTCTTTTCTAAAGTGAGCACACCCCAAAACAAGAATTAAAGACTTTTACTTTCAAAAAGCATTGTAACTGATTTGACTGTTTTTAACTTTACCTTGTAATATATATATATATATATATATATATATATATATTATCTTAATGTCTAAGTCGTCCTTAATGTTAATTTACCCTTGTAAAGTCTACTGAATACTTTGAATAGATTTTAGACTTTAACTACATGTAAATATTATCATTATTATTTAGAAGCTGAGCTTCAAGTCTAGATTGTCACTTACCGTCTTACCCTATTCTCTACCAACCCAACTTACCTTGTTCCCTAATAGCAAACATGGGACATTGCTGCCATCAGGTAATGTACACTTAGAATCAAGGTCTTTCTTCCACTTGATAGCATTGTTGAAGGTGGATTTCTGGAGCAGGTCAAACATAATGATACAGGCATGGGCATCCTTGTAGTAGACTCTTGTCATTGATGTGAATCTCTCCTGGCCTGCAAGATGGTCAAAGGTGGTGGTGGTATTTTAATAAAATTAAAATTCACAGTTTGATATAAAATGTACCCTTTGAGGTTAGAGTTCTTCGCCTCCCTGAAAGCACCTGACACCACACTGTTGAATAATAATGTGAATTAACATTCTATAGTTACCAGTTCTATCTGTCATTCCTACATCAGCTCAATATATTCTAACAACTGAAGAGACAACATAAGCTGTTAACATTATGGTCTCTGTACAGTACTGACCAAGATTAATTGTCAAGTATTTCTGCAGAATGAAATAGAATGACACAGACACGTGTTCTACTGTAAGCCATCTTTACTGAACAACCGAAAACCCCACACTGACATGTGCACTACACAGTCTCTAGTATAACCTGCTTGGAGATCAAAACCACAATAAAGTTGGGCACTCTGCCATAAAAGTTACCACAAGGAAGAATGTAATGATAAAAAGAAAATATGGAACTGAAAGAAAAAAATACATTGTATAACATACATTGAATTTGTATTTTTTTGTTTTTTTGTAATTATAACTGTTGTTTGGTTAACAAATTATATTACTACTACTGTAGAAGGTTACCTCAAGCAGAAAATAAATTTAAATAGGTAAATGGAAACATACTAGTTGTCTCAAAATAGCAACTCATGACTGGCATGTGACTTGCTTTTCAGGTCTTTGTTTGTTGACATATCACATGTCTTACTATTTAAAGAGACGTGCTATCCAGACTAAGACACTGAAATTTTTATCTAAACTTAAAATGTGATGAAAATGAATATTTAATTACCTAATTACGAAACAGATGATGACATATTTTACTACTGTATTCTTTCATAAGGAGAAGACTTGCCATAAATGAAAATGTGGTATTGAAAGCTTTTTTTTTTTTTCAATTTAAATTGCCACATGAAAATTACTTATAATAGTTTGAAAAATCCAATTACCACTCTTTCTGTTAACACAATTTTGGAATCAGGAAAATAATTCTGTATAGCACTAGTGTTTTTACTGTATAGAATATAATTATGAGGTGGCCTGCTTTTCGGTATTTCAGCTACCATCTATAAAAATGGCCTAGTTTCAAGAATTTAAAAATTCTAGTATCTGTAAAATTTTACAACTTTCCCCATTGAAAAGATGGAGTTATTATCGTACTTTACCTGCAATGTCCCATAGTTGTAACTTGACTGTCTCTCTATCAGACCACTTCACAACCTTTAGAGCAAAGTCCACTGAATTATAAATAATAATAAATATCATAGGTTAGTCCTTTTAATACTGTACAGAAGACCTTAATTTCACAAGCATGGTGTAAGATTAATTGCTCATCAGATATAAACTTTCCCTTCCACACAATCTGTAGATTATATTAAACTATGTACATGTATATAATAGTATTTGGTGTGAAATGGGGAGCTGACTTGGCACATTAACATTTTACATCATGAAAAATATAATCTATCCGAATGATCTTAATAATCACAAAAGTATAAAGAATCCAGAGTGAATTAAAAAGGTTAAGAATTTCCAAGAAAATGGTCATGATACATCAAGCTCTCACGCCCACTGTTTGCCTTAAATAAAAGTCCAGTTAAAGCTTTGCCGTACTTACCTCCTATCGTCCCTTTATAATCTCTCCTATAGCTGTCGTTCACGTATCTTTGGACAAAAGAAGTCTTTCCCACCGTCGGGTCACCAATAATTATCACTTTGAAAAGCTTCTCCATATCAAGTTATAGACAACTTCAGTCAAAAAGTACTCTTGGCGTACCGATAACGCCTCTCGACTTCCTTATTTCCTATACACGACGTAATATATGTGAATGGTGGATGTAAATAACTTATTTCACACAACTGCTGCTGGACATTTGCTAAATACAGAGAACATATAGCTATATGCAGCGCTTCAACGGTTGAGTAAACAGTTGTTGAGTAAAAAACTCGTGCAGCAGCACTGACCTTCACTCTTTACACGTCTGGAACAATGACAATAGAAAAAAAACAGACACTGTCACATTTGTATAGATGTCATTTAGCCACGGCGGCAACTACTATATCACAGTCATTATACATCGAAGAAACAATGGCACAGATGAGAACGTCATTAATGCAAATGACTGCATTGTTTTTCTCAAATTGGATAACGTGTGGTCTACAAGCCGGACAGCGCCATTTTGGACATATCACATGATGTTTTGACCTATTTAAAATTTTTTTCCGCAAGTCTGTCTCGTTTTCGATTTTTGATATGATAACGGCACAGTGTTCTCTACATATAATCAATGTATGGTTTTAAATAAACAGTAAAATTAGTTTCCCGTTTGTTTATGGTCACAAAATTATTTCTAAGGGAGGAGAGGGAGGGGCAGGTACACCTCTATCAGGACCAAAGATTTACTTTTTAACTTGAAATACTCAGAAATTTCTCTGGTTATTTATGTGCACTTCTCTGTGCTGTGAGAATATTTACCCATCATGGATTTAATCAACCAGCTAGAGTGTGTGTGGGTGAAAGTAGGACAAACCATTTTAATAAAGGAATTAGCAACATGTAAGGGGGGGGGGGATGAAAAGAGTACGGAGGGGGGAGGTCTAACATTCAAGTTTCTTTAATTTGCCAGCATTGTACTTAATAAGATAATCTTCATTCAAACAAATATGTTTACATGTATATTGATAAAACAAAGTAAATCTTCAATCTTTATAAATTAATTTATTTCATGTCTGAAAACATGCAGTCTTATTATTTTTTTTCCCATTTCTCGTGGAGCATGAGAAATACACCTTCCATTGCTCCATTTTGTAAACAAGCAAGTGTGCAACTAAAAGAAAACATTATCACAAACAATGCAGAGTTCAACAAAATACGAGACTCCAAGTGTCAGAGCTTAAGTTTTGTATTTTTTCTTATTTCGAATGAGTCTATCGTTTGCTTTCTAGTTGTTTCTTTGATTGGGTAGGATCCCAAGGTTCTATTTTTTCTCTGGTGGTGCTATAGGGTATATATCGTGAGCCAGTTCCAGTTGGATTCTGTTCGTGATCTGCCATCCAGCGGTGTTGTACTGGTGGCTCTTCACTTGGTGGAATATCTGTCACATAGTGGAGCCACCTGTGCCTGGATAAAAAAAGATTAAAGATATTTTAGAAAATGTGTAGTTAGTACTTAAATAAACATATTAATTTTGCACACCCTTTGGGAATATATTACCTTGAGACTTCAAAAATATATTTAAATTATACCCCTTTCAATCACTGACACTCCCCCCACCCTGATTTACGATCACAGACTTTTCTATCCGAGGACTGAGTAAAACAGAGTTTAGTGGAGCTACCAGACTGCTCCCAATTTTCATTAATTTAAGTCTCAAAGGGCAAAAAGCCATAACCAAGTATGTTATCAGCGTGTTTCAGTGAGTGCACAATTTTTTGGGGTAAAAAATCATTCCAAAAGATCTGTCAGCTTATACAAAGTTTCTTTTTCTTAGCTTTAACACATTTAATTGATAGTTTTTATTAACATCAGTACAGTAATTTTTTTAATGTTCTCAAATTACAAACAATCAGCTTTGGTAGGCAAAACATTAACTCCACCTCTTGTTGGATTCCTATACCCTTTTCACATTGAGTGGTATACTTAAAGCGAGATATATATCATCTAATAACCTAGCTTTTACACAAGAGGGTCACCTTAACGGAGCCCCATGCTCAGCATGGCCAAACAATAGACAGCAAACCTGGGGGGAACTTACCCTCTACCAGGGCGACTGATAGATTTTTACGGATATTCACAGATATGTCTCTAGCTAGATAGATTGTCATTTTCAGCTGAAGTCACCCTGTACAGAAATCCCATGTGGGAGCAATTATCTCTGCCCGCGCGCAGAGGGCTTTATTCTCGCTCTGCATAAGCTTCGCTTCGCGACGATGTCGTAACTGTACGTTACGTAACCTGTCTAGGCTCTGCTGTCTGCAGAAACCAGTCACGTGGTTGGAAGGGGTTTCCTGAAGTAATCCGTATCCCACAATTCCGTACTGCAGCTTTAAAAAATGGCGGCTATCACGCCCGGTGTTTCCTCCGAAAAAAAAGAAAAAATAGAGAGGTAAGACGTTCCGACAATTTATTCTTGGGGGTATCTTCTTTCTGATGCAATTATATAGACTCTGTTTAGTCTTTTATATGACTTACTTATTAATGACTCTTTGAAAAACATCTCCTGCAGTTAGGACATGCTGTAGGCTAATAGGTTACGGCAACGTGATTCGGGTAAAATCTTATCTTCTGAAATAATTATATCTTGGTTTTAGGCTCAAGAGTTCAATTGTAAAGGGACCGAAGAGTGGGCCGTACACAAGTTCTTTGAAAGTGGTCATGTTAGAGAGGACATTTGGATTGGACAGACACATTTTAGGGAAGCTGATCAAACAATTATTTCCTGATGCGGAGTTAAAAAGAAAAAAGGGCGAAAACTCATTTTATGTTGGGATTCGGCTCAATGCTTTCAGGCTGCTACTGCACCAGTATTTATACCTCTGCAACTACTTCAGGGGATTCCACAGTTAGCCTCACTCTGAAGTAATAAACTATTCACTGGGGGCTATTTTTATCTGTGTCAGAAGAGCAAGTGATTAAGGTCAGAGCAATTAACTGTCTTGATTGCTGTCATGCAGACTTAGACTGGACCTGCCAAGTGGCAGTGCCTGAGCAGTTATGCAAACAATTACCAGCCATGTAATCAGCCTTGGGATTTCTGTACAGGGTGACTTCAGCTGAAAATGACAATCTAGCTAGAGACATATCTGTGAATATCCGTAAAAATCTATCAGTCGCCCTGGTAGAGGGTAGGGGGAAGTTGTGAAAATGAGTGAAAGTCCCCTTTAGGCTCTGCTGATAACACATTAGGACTTGTCGTCATGGAACAATTTAGATTGGATAATTTTAATACTATGACTCGACCTTTTCAATGGGGAATAGATAACAACCTTTCATATTTAGTAATTTGTAATCATTAAAATATGTTTCTTTACAAAGCATTTGTGGTGCTTTTACTGTATAGATTAGAGCTATATGGTAGTCAGCTTTATAATTTTGTTGCTACAACTCAATACGTAGTCATGTCCCAATTTTAAGAATTTATGACCTGAATAAATACAATATCAGTAAAATTCACTATTTTCCCCATGGAAGAGATTGAGTCATCACTTTATTCGCAGCACAATGGGCGCATTCATACCAGTGGACTAAACATTCCGTGGGCCAAATATGGCGACCCACTAAAAAGCCTGCCGTCTAATCCCCTATTAGACACTGAATAGATTCCCTGTGGGGAAGCATTCAAGTGGGTTGGTCATATTTAACCCTCGGACTAGTTAGTCCACTGTTCTGAAAGCAGCCAATGTTAAAGGGGTTTTATTTGGTTTTAAGTTGCTATCTTACTTACCATTCTGCTGGAATCTGGGATGCATCTATCCTCATCCCCACCTGTGGACTGTACTCCACCCAACGGTTAGAACCTACAGCAGTAAATATAGGTAAACTAAAACCACATTCATTATGTACATCAGAGTCGAGGAAATTAAATTAAAATTAATTATTTATTAACTAATTAACAATTAAAAGGGACAGAGTTCAATGACCTTATTACCTTCCCCAAGGAGGTTATGTTTTCACCCCTGTTTGTTTGTTTGTTTGACATCAACCTAACTCAAAAAGTTATGAATTTCGATGAAATTTTCAGGGGTAGGTCAGAAAGCGGCTAACTTAAGAGTGATTAGTTTTTGGGGGTGATCTGGATCAATCAATAATCAATAATCTTAAATTAAAAAAAAACTAAGTTATGAATCGATTTTGATGAAATTTTCAGGAAGTGTCAGAAGTGGGCCAAGGAACAGATGATTAGTTTTTGGTGGTGATCTGGATCAATAATCAATCAATAATCAATAATAAAAAACTAAATCATTATAGAAGGAAAATTTAGGGGTGAAACGGCATTGGGTGGAGACTTTGCTGCCTTGGCGGGGGTCTGCATTCTCGGAGTGCTTTTCTAGTTATCTCCATGGGATTCCCCCTCCCATTTCTTAAAATCTTTCATAAAATATAACAACTTTCTAAGATATATTTTATACGTTTATGCTAGGGGAATCCTCCAAAAAAGGGAAAATTCCTGCCTTTATTGTTATCACTGACTTCAGAACTGTACTTCGAGACAATGCAAAAAAAAAAGGGTNCATCGCCATCGGCGACGACAGACGCAGGTGATGGCAATATGTACAGACACATCTGTGTCTGTACATAAAAAAAAGGGTAAAGATCTATTACTGTATTAATTCAAGAAATCAATGACTTCAAGTTAATTTTTTTAATGAAAGAACAATTCTTTTAATTTTGTATGTAAACTGTTTTTAGAGGATTTTTTTATAATAAATTGATTGTATGTCATATCATGTATCTTACCAAAGAAGTAAAAATCATTCTGCCAGTACTTGTTGCCATATTTGTCTTCACCAACAAAGAAGCCATACTTGACGTTGTCCATTCTATTCAAAATACAATATGCATAAATTATACGAACCCTTTTTCTTCCTGTATTAAATATGCTACTATGTGAATGATACAGGTGTCAATAACTATAAATTGATGTTCTGCTGGCAGATCCGCCTTTCGCATGGGCTCTTCCACGCTCGGCTGTCACCTTGATTGGATAGTAAACGATTGTCGTAAAATCGCTAAATGGTATTAAAATCAGGTGCATAAACTTGAAAACCACATAGGACAACCTTGGACTGCCACATTAATCCAATACAATGCAAAAATAAACTATAACAAGTGGTTAAAGCCTTCAAACCGAATGTTGTAAAGTCCCCATATACCTCCATAGAGACAATAAAATAGAGTAAGCTTGTGAAACAAGATTCCACAATTTTAAACATAATAATCGAAATAAAATACTGCCAGCAAATACTGCAGGCTACATCATCCCATGGCTCGTTTGTAAATTCCATGCATAGCATACGCACAATCAAACCGTAAATCCAAATTCCCACCTTGACGTTTAAGTCGGTCCTCTCTGCTTTCAAATTCCACCGGGCTTACAAAAAAGAAGCCATGTCATTGGACAATGCGACCTCTGGGGTTACGTCCCTTCAAAAACTGGATGGTAGAGAGGACCGACTTAAACGTCAAGGTGGGAATTTGGATTTACGGTTTGATTGTGCGTATAAAAACTACAACTACATTGTACCTTACTTGGCATTCCTGATTTACATTTTGATTTTTGATGAGATTTCCTTGATAGTGGTTCTCTACTGTAGTCAGAGTATACTAACAGCAATAGGTTCTTGTTTTAATCAAACTAAGAAATATTATAACAGCTTTCGTAAAAATCTGGGAACGACTTCTGACTTCTACCTTTTTGCAACAATCTAGAATGATAATCGCATTCGATTTAGTAGCACCTTCAGATTATTGAGCTATTCACACTAGAATTACCTGTACAGCTGAACAACCGTCCTTGTCAATCCGCCATTAAAGAATCCACCATTGGCCTGAACCGTTTTCCCAAGCATTTGGATACCTTGGACAGGTATCTTAACTTGTTTGACGAGGCCATCGGCGATAGCTTTCAGAAGCTTCGCCATTTTGGTTGTCACAGCTTGACCTTCAACGTGATTGGTTAAAATAAGTAAGGTCATACACGATATCCCACACAACATAATTTTGCGTCCACCATTTAAAAGAATTATTCTATCGCAATAGTAGTAATAGTTCTAATATATTATATTTCCATTCATCTGATATCGCAGCTAACTTACACTGTTGGCGTTGAATATAATTTCATTAGATACTGCATTGCAATATTTTTTTATGTATGGTGTATCAATTTCTCCGACACAGTTGTCCAACATGGCGGGTATCCTGGGCAGATGTTTTGAGAAAATTAAAGCCTGGATTGTTTGGTCGTGGACATACCTGTGGGCCGTCTGGTTTTTACTAGTCATCTTTGTCATATATGTCCTTAGAGGGCCGTTAAAATTAGGAGAGAAGCTGAATTACGGTAAGCATAAATGCAGTAGCTGACACTGTAAATCTGCCGGCACTGCAGCACCAAGTACTACTACTACTAGTAGTACTAGTAATAGTCGAAGTGGGTAGCCTAAGCTGTAGGGCGCTAGTGTAGTAGTCTAGGGGTCCAGTTATAGCATTTCAGCGCTTCATAATTGGCACACGTTATGCACATTAATCGAAGTCTTAATATCACCAGGTTGACTTAAAGCTGATGAATCTTTGAAGTTTCCATTTTTAATAACGGGCACGATGTGTGATAAATTGCAAGCAACAGGTAAACCCTGAATGTACAAGATCGAAATATAACTAATCAATATGACACATGTGTATTGCCATTGCAAAAATACTGGCCACAAGACAAGGTTTTTGCATTTTTCTGAAAAATACCAGCAGCTGGGTCTTTGTCATAATATTCAACGTACAGCTAGCATCCTCTGTATATATTTTAACATTTTAAAGACCATATGACACCAGGGCTAATGCGGTTTGATAACACACACAAAAAATGAGTCTTTTTGTCTTTCAATGACCCCATGGTTTTTGGAACAAGAGTTTTGCAATTATGTCTAGCAAAAATCTATTTCAAAATCAAAGCATGTTTCAGATTAAAGACCCACAGTAAGATTATTTTTAGTTAAACTATAGGATTCATATACATGTTACACAAAAATTCGTGCATTAGCATTCCTATATAAGTTTTTGGATACATATCACTGTTGTGCAAACCCATGAAATAATATAACTGTACAATAGTATCCACCATGCTACAGAGATCTCAAATCTTTACCCCACCTCTCATCTCCTCAATTCATATATTCTGGTAAAGACCAGTTTTCTTATCAACAAAGCTATGAGTTTAGTAAGACTCATGAATCTGTTTATCTGTACGTTATAATGGAGTGCTTACACATGGATTTCTTTGCTAATGTATATGATTAAAACTTATTTCCTATATTGAAGAAGTCACATGTATGGAATGTGGTCTTGCATTTGCATTGAGTACTAATAATAAAAAAAAAAAACTGCTGCTGATCAGGCATCAGAGCCTCTCATTTATGATGCATGCCACTTGCTGAGCCCAAATTATTTGAAATATACTATATTTACTTAACTAGACATTCTGGGATATGGTTGCAGTTGAAAAGCTCTCTATGATTAAAATTTAAACAAGTGTGAGCATGATATATTATTTTACGTGATTATTAATTAAGTGCTATGTTGAGTATCAAATTTGAAATAAAAGTGCTGAAAGTCATATTATTAAATTTAGCTTTGCCAAGATTTCATGGCTTATATCTGCATTCATTTCTATGGACATTCTGGGTTTTGGGCTTTTCACCGGAATGAGATGCTGAATGATATCAGTTTTAATTAGAAGAGCGATATTTATATAACGTTGCCTCTGGGACCTTTTGTGAAACCAAGATAAAGAAAACCAAAAGGAATGCACTGTTATGCACAGCATTTAAAGTGAGACTTTTTAAGCAGTAATGAATAGTTTCAGAATATAACCTAACCATTGTCCCATTTGGGTTATTTCTGAGATAGGCTACATTTTTAGACTTTATAAAGAGAAAAAAAACCTGTCTGTTGACAAATTTGAACATGCGTTAACTAATATACTGGTATGCATATTGTGGTTGGAGAAATACTAGTCACATCTAAAGCAATCAGCATTTAGTGCTCACCTAGCACAGTGGCTGTTGAGGACAACCTGGGCAGACCACACCTACCACAACTAGGCCTTGATACAAGTTGTAGATTTAGTACTGTGATTATATTATCTCAGTTTTTGGCAAATACTTTGGATGATGCCTGCTGAAAAAGTGCCCATAACTAAATTGGCTTTATTTAGTTATTTTGGAGGAGAGGGTGATTAAATTTGATGTATAGTCAGTGTGTATATACATGTGAATATTATTCTTACACGTTATAGAGGAAATGAACTGCACACTATATTAATTAATGTCTGGTGCATCCATCAACTCATCCAAAAAAGTTGAGATTCATAGGATTTACTAGAAGGATAGATTATGCTTTTCTGCTTTTCCAGTAGGCAGTACACTTTGTTTCTAGTGTTTTTTGATGATATTTTTTGTTTAATGAAAATATGAAGATCTTATTTTTGTAAATATCAGATACAACATGGTGTTATATAACAGTTACATAAATCAAATAACCATGTGTGCAGTGATGTTCCCTTGGTTTGACCCCCACCTATCTGTTACAAACAAACATTTTTTTTTTTTTTTTGCCTCATGTTATTTTTTTCTTCTTTGTAATTATAGAATAATTGAGTTATTGAGGCTGCCAGGTCAACACATTTATTCCTTTTCTGCTCAGTTTTAATTCTAATTATTTTTGTTGTAATGCAAGTGAGAGAGATTGTGAAGATCATTAGATATATGATAAGAATGGAAAGGGTATCACTCGAAAGTAATCAAGCACTTTTCATACAGTGGTTTTATGATAAATGAATGAAATTAAGTCAGCTTTGGGAAGAGAATCATTATTCATGGTGACTGAAGTTGAGTGAATGCCAGGCCTGTGACCAGCAATTTCATGGTACATCATTTTAGTCTTTGAGTGTTTTTTTATGTTGTATTTTGTGTGTGCTACAGCACTGACATAGAGCCTTTAGGATCAAATTTTGAACTAGAGCAGTGGAAAGGGAAGTTTGTTCAAACCCCCACAATCACTCCTTCCTTGGGCCTGAAATTTATGGTGCCTGAGCTAAAAGACATCACCATTCATATAGTAATAGAACAGATATATTCAAGCATTTTGCTGTGCCATTTCTGAAGGTCCCTCTCACGCAACCTGTCTTCGTTTGATGAGTATGATTAACTAGAAAACCTATCTCTGGCTCACTTGAGGGATTTCTTCAGCTCATAAGTCTCAGAATTCTGCTATTATAAGTCTCAGTGGAGTTGGCGTCTGATGGAAATGTATGACATCACTGGAACTGATTTTCCCAGAAAAGACAGTTCAGTAAAATGGAAATGAGCCATCTCCACAGAAGCTGCCAGAAAGGTTTGGCCTCCCTGGATGAGTAGGAAAATTATAACTGAGACACTCCTGAGAAACCCTCTGCTACATTAACAGCTGTCTACATTGATGATCAGAGGGAAAAATGATGCTCGGGTTTGTGATGGAATATGTTTTTGGTATTGTTTCCAATCAGTCTGGTATTGAAGGTAAGATAATTTGAATATAGTCTCTGGTTGTCAGAGAGTCCTGAGATCCAGTTGTCATGCAATTATTGATCTTGTGGTCAGTAAATGTCACCTAAACCATGGTTAAGCATTGCTCATTCCCTGTGTTTTTTTCCTGTATCAATATTATTGTTTTTATGGATGTATTTATTTATTTATTTATTTATTTATTTATTTATTTATTTATTTATTTATTTATTTATTTAATCTAATTTGTTGCAGAACTTTTAATTGGATAGGACTTTGTGCTAGTTGACTAAAACAAAGGTTATGGAAGTGTGTTCAGAGGCGAAGGTCATTTTATATCAGAAAAATACCAGTGACACTTTTAAAGGTCTGTCAGATCTAGTTTTTAAGTGTGTGTGTAGGGGGGGGGGGGGGGGGGGGGGGGGAGAGGAGAGGGGAATACATGGCAAAAATCAGCGATAGTAGCTCCACTTGAACAAAAGAAAAAGGATTTTAAAACCAAAATTTTAAGGGTGAAATGAACCTTCTTTGCTACCACCGTGCCCTCCTCCCTGAGTACAACTTTGTAAAACACGCCAACAGTTATGACACTATATTTGGTTGTCATAGCAATGGGCAAGTTGCCAGGGCAGCAGAGGTCCACCTCTATACAGTAAGCATTGGGTCATTCCAATCAATTATTCACAAATAATTGATGTTTTAACTCCTGTGAAGTCCATAATATTCTATAGATAATATAGAACTCCCAGCAGTGTATGCTCAGATTTCATTATGATTAGTCCAGTTGTAATAGTCCTCCTACTTTTAAATAATCAAATCAGCTTTGTGCTTATATATCTCTCGGTATATTTTGCATTCGTGGGCTGAGCCTGCTGTATTTCATATAGATCCGTGACTTCAGGTTTACGGGTTTACAGTACATGGTCAGCATTATCCGCTCTCTCTCTCTCTCTCTCCAGGACTACCATGCAGATAAATACTCTCAGAGCCAGTTGGTCAATAGTCTTAGCTTGGATACATTATAACATGACCATCCAGAACAAAAGAACTCAGGTCCCTAAAGTGCATGTCAATAGAATAAGCCCATCTTTCCCAAGCCCAAAGATATATCTGGTGAAGTTCTACTGTAAATGTGTCCTTTAATGGTGGATTAATCTCCCCATCCATTTCCAAATGCGTAATATCATTAACTAGCTTGTGTAATTGCAAAGACTTGTATTATGCTGTGTTATATAAACCCAGGAACAAAGGATTAATGTTGCCAACTTTACTCAGTATTAAAGCCAAGCCTGTTATTCAATAATGTGTGTAATGCAGGTAGAATGCCAATCAAAGGATGTTTTATATAAAATATATAGCTATCACACAGTGGTGTTAATCTGTGAAGTTTATGTAATATAATATATCTCTAAGAATTTGCCCAACTGATACCTAATCTTTCCTTTATTAAGCTCTTCCCTGTATTGAGATGATCTATTAAGACTTGTCTATTGTCTTGATTAAGAGATAAAGTGCAGACTGAGCAGTTATTACTTCACGACCAGGATATCGTGACTTGAATCGTGAGGCTGGTGTAGACAGGTGGTTCCTTCGTCAGTGCTTCCCTGTATTGTTGATGTGTTCAGAGAGGCTGGATAACAGATCGGCTGCAGACAGGCGGGCAGGCAGGCAACGTCTGAGTTAACACACACTGAACTTGTTTGGAGCGAGTGACTCACTGCAGGCTTTGCTTGATGCACACAGACTGGTTTTAGTTTTGTGAAAAGAGCAGTATTAGAGTATATACAGTGTGTGTAGTGATATGATCGCAGACCTCGGCTGTTATTGCAGTACTGCCACCTGTAATGAACAGATGGGAAGGTTGTTATGCCAGTAGGTGACGACAACAGTAATAACAGCAAGGAACAGAGAGAGAGAGATAGAGAGAAAGAGAGACAGAAAGGAGAGGATTGTATTTACTAGTACAGACTTTTAAGTTAGAGGACAAAAAGCATCACAGCACCATGATCAACCTATTGTTAAGTAAGTGAACTTGGTTTCTTGTCTTGAATCCATGCTCATTGATATATAGGACAGTTTTGATGTCTGGACTAGTAGACAAACATCAGTAATTGTAACAGTGGCAAGAGTATTCATCATTGTGAAAAATTACAGGAAGACTTTGACATCAAGGCAATCATTTAATATGTACTCTTGAGTCAGTGAACCTTTACTAGCATGTGCACTAAATATAACCTCTGCAGTGTAATACAGCCATGTGTTAGACCAACTACTACGAGGTTAAGGAAGACAGAGAATTATGTCTATGAAAAATGGAGCATTTCGGATGCTGTGGTTAACCCACCTATTGAATGTGTAAACAAATAGATTTCTCAACCTGCTGTTCTTTTATTTTTTGTCTTCATAATAGCCAGGTGAACACATTTATTTTCTGTCCAGTTTTAATTTTTTTGTTGCCAATTGATATATTGTGTTATGTGATAATAACACTGTTGGCAATATACAAGTTGCACATAGATGCACGTTAATTAAAAACAATAACACTGGGAACCAATATGGTCTATATGATTGATGGTGCTGTTGCTCAGAAATATGAGATGGTGAATACAGCTTGAATTTCTTTTAACTGATTGATTGCCCTTTTTAATCCTGACAGAACAGTAGCATCACTGCACAGTAAGAAGGCCTACTAGTCATTTGTTTGTGAAATTAATGGCAAAATTACAGTCATAAATGGTCTAGGTAAATGCACTGTGCTCCCACATCGGCTCATTTATTTATGTAGCCGGATGAGATGCTAAGGAAGGTTATGGTTTCTGGTTCCTTTTAATTTCCTGCAGTATACCTGTCTGTGGTTTTATATATTAGGTTCTTTTCATGTCATGCAGTATATTTTTCTGTATCGAAATACTTTCACTGGTCCTTACAGGTTATTTTGCTACTGGGGATTTTACTCTCTTTCACAAATTTGCTTCCGAATGCTTTGATTCAGTTAACTTACTAGTACCATGTTGAGCGTAGGGTTTGAAAATACAGTATTAGTCTAGGAACTTATGTGGCCATGGATCTGAGAGGCCGCATTCACAAAACTAGTCTGACAATCAAGTACATTCGACCCACGTGAATGCTTAATCCCGCAGGGAATATAGTCAGTGTCTATTAGGGGATTAGATGGGCAACTTTTAAGTGGGTAGCCATATTTGATCCGAGGACTAGTCATTGCACTGTTCTGAATGTGGCCTAATAGTCAGAGGATCAAATATGGCTACCCACTTAAAAGCTTGCCATCTAAAGCTTGTTTTGAACGCGGCCATTGTATCAGTAGCAAACTGTCAACTGGTGTGAAGGTGGCAGATTTATCGACTTGATCTGATTTTCGAGAAGAAAGTTATTTTTGGATATGACATTTGTATTTGACACTATCTTATATTGATTGCTGTCTTTCTGAGATGAAATTATTTGAAATAAAAGTGCGTCAAGATATATTTTTCAATCTGTATTATCTCAAGTCAATTGATAAAGATCAAACCCCTATTGAGCCAATGCAGGAGACGTTAGTGTTGTCAACATCTACTTGCCTTTTTTAAACTTCACTAGATGAGATGTCCTTAAGGGAATGAGTTGGGGAGCAAAAAAAAAAGAAAAATAATGTGGTAAAAGCATGCATTTGTATGGAAATTGTATTTTGGGAAAGTCTTCCAATGAATTCCAATTTTATTCAGTTGATGAGAAATTGGAGAGAAAAATTGGAGAGAAACTAATTCTTTATCTGATTGTGTCACATATGCAGAAGGCTGCACTTTATTCAGCCGTCTCTAGTTGTGAACTGCAGCTAGGTGATATATTGTCTTCAGTAACAGCATTGTTGCCTGATTTGTTATTACTTTGTAATTTCAGTAATATGACGAAGTAATAACAAGTTAGACAATAATATGGTATAGTTGTCTTTGGAAGAACTCTGCTGGTTATTGCATATAGATAATGCTGCTGACGTTGTGATGAAGACTTTATGAGGTAATCTTATGTCTGCCTGGTAATTAGGATGCCTGCTTTGACGAAATGTCATTTTGTGGTCAGACGAGATTTAATATGCATCAGGCTGCTTTCTTTTTCTTTTCTTTTTTTTTTTTTTTACTAAAATGACTGTTCCAAAACTGAAACGTTGGCTTGGTAACAAGAATGCCTGCTTAGTAACTGAAATGTGTGCTTGGTAACACAAGCTAAATATTGTTATTAGTGATTTTGAGCCATGGGTTTGTGATTGCAAAAACCAGAATTAACAACTTAAACTGTGATTTCATGGTGCATTCATAATAAATGCTAATTGCAGATATGCAATATTAATCACAAAGAACAAGTCTCTTCACCTGCCTATTTGCACGTTCGATATGGAGATTGTTGAGAACTCATTACTCCCTTATTGATACGCAGTAGGAAATTGTCACCCTGAGCTTCAGAGATAACTTGACACTAACTTCTTCCCTATAGCCTATCTTCATTGTGTCAAGTTACCTCTGACCACATTCGATTGCCCGCACCGCCCGCCAATCAAATGTAAAGCCCGCCCTCAATGACTCATTGAATGATCTAGCCAATGAATGCGAACGAGTCAAAGCGCGCTTTGTTCAAATCCGGACCAATCAAAGATAAGGCTGAATATCAGAGACTTGCCGTAACCTGTGGGCAGCACGCAAAATACATCATCCCGCAGTAGATTATGATGCAGGGCCTCAAACTGCTCTGGTTTCAATTTCAATATACCCATATTTTGCAAAGAATCAAGAGATAACTTAACACATTCTTTTATGTAGTCACTCGTAGGAGATGCCATGCTTTCTTTGTGTACGGTTATGCACTCGGAACTACTCGGATGTCTCCGCACTCGACAATAACTTTGTTGTTTGGAGCTTGCGGAATCAGTCAAGGAGTGCCGATTGACGGTTATGTGGATGCAACGAAATACAATTTTCTCATTGGACATAATTCTGGACTTTCAACCAATCAGCGTTTTCACCAAACTTTGGTGAAAATTTTGAAACATGGATTCGATTGGCTTAAATAAACTAGGTCAAAATTTTTTCGTCAGAGGTAACTTGACACGATGAAGATGGGTATAGTGAAGAGGTTAGTGTCAAGTTATCTCTGAAGCTCAGGGTGGAAATTGTAGATTATGGAAAAACATAGCTACATACTACGTTATAACTGTTATTATTTTAGTTATTATTATCAAAATTATTATTATCTAACATTGTCTAATAATTCTGATCATGTTGTCAGATGCTTCTGTGTTTGTAGATTTTATGGTTGAGTTAGAATCACTTAAGTTACTGTTCCAGACAAAAAATTCACTTCACTGGACCATGCCTACTAGTAACGTCTAAATCCACTTTAAGACCTTATTCCCATAGATGACACCATTGGTCTACATAGATCGACCCAACTCTGTGGGGACTCCCGCTAAGTGCTATCAGCTTAACAGAATGGCATGCCTCCTCTTGTTTACAACATACTTCTATAATCACCAGCTTTTCTGTATTCTATTCTACTTCTACTCCACACATAGTTGAGTTCATCCAGGTAGACTGATTGTATCTATGGCAATGGAGCCTCAGTGTTATAGTGTGAAGTACCTACTGTTTAAAGTGATAATAACTCTTCGTTTCGGCCAAAAAATGAATTTTCCTGGAGTAAACAACAATTTTCCCATACTTACCAATGGTTAATGAATCCATTTTTACATTATTAGTCCCTGGTTTTTTTCTAAAAAGTTTGGTTTTTTGTTAAAATCTCTTAAGAGATTTTAACAGAGTATAGACATCAGTGGAGGTCACGTGGTCTAAAGACAAGTTCAAATATCAGAATAAAAGCTATAACTGCTGTTTTTGTGGTAAAACAGAATATAATTATATTTCTATGAGTTATTCACAAGGTTTTTATTGTGAAATATAGATCTCATACGAAGAGTTATTATCCCTTTAAGCTTGTGTTAAAGTTACAATTTTAGTTGAATATGGCCATAGTGAAACAGAATTCCAAGTTGGAGTTGTTTTTAAAAAGCATGCTACACGGTAATAAATGTGTAGATTACTAGCTTGTCGGGGAGAGCTTATTTGCTATAATTATCACCAGTGTTATCATACTGGAGTTGAATGAGACTTTAGTGGAGTTGTTTTTTTTTTTAAAAGCATGCTACATGGTGTTGAAAGTGTAGATTACTAGTTTGTCAGAAGGGGCTTATTTGCTAATTATCATCAGTGTTTCCACACTGTTTGTGATTACCAGCAAGATCATGGCTTTTAAAAGGTCAAGTGATTTTGCAAGGGGAAGGGAATTAGCATTTAGATAATAACCTGTCAGATAAGTTGTTTAATAAACGGTTGGGAGAGTAGTTTACTAGTAATTTAATTTGTATTTTTTATTTGATTTGATTTTTTAGATTTATTTTTAATTAATTAATTTATTTATTTTTGTCTACTGGCCTCTTGAAAGGTCTTTCTGTGATACGTATGAGGCAAGCCAAGGTATAAGGTGGACCAGACTGTAAAAACAGTTTGTAAAGGGGCAACAGGGTACGAAGTTCAGGTTACAAGGTCAGGCAAGAAAAGCACATTACTAATGGTCAGCCAGAGATTGATATCTTGAAAACAGGATGGGGTTGTGAGGTTTTTAACAGTCTCGGTCTCTCGAATAACAAGCTGCAGTTAGAAAATATGTTGTTGGAAGCAAGGTTTACCAGACCTTGAAGAACCACATAATAAATAAACAAGCTACAGGTGTGTAGGTTCATTTTTTTCAAGGCCAAAGAATGACAGATAGAAAAAAAGCAATCTGTCAGCAAGCTATCTGTAGGTCAGTAGTCTTAATTTCCTTCCTGTTCATGAGTTATTATGGCAATTTAGGTTCAGATTTGTGATAAGTATTTTAGCTGTGTGTTCTTGAACATTTTTCATGTTTTCCTGGAAGATGTATGCATGTGTCAGGTGATAAATAAAATAGACACTGTTCTGAAATGGAAGTCCTGGCATTAGCAGTGAATTGATAATTGCTTTTGTTTTCAATAAATTTTTACTACTGAGTTAATGATATTCCCAAGAAAAAAGCTTTATATTTAGAAATGTTGATTAAAAAATTTGAATAGTTTGTTGGCTTTATGTCATATAGTGCAATTTTACGAGAGTCTAAAAATCATAAATCTTGAAAAAGAAAAATCTTAGAAAAAATGGGATATTTGAAAATTTCATATAATCACCATGATGGTAAAATAGGGTTTTCTTTGTCTGTTGTAAATTGATGGTAGGAAATTATATTGAGGAGTCTGTCATGTCATCAAGGCTCCTTGAAGGGTCGAAATTCAAATGTCATACTCGGGCAAAAAACAAGTTTAGGCTCTTTGGAAGTATTAAATTTTATACCACTACTACCATGAGGGCTGTGGGCTCATTGCCAATGTTACTTTCATTCTGTGTAGATCCATTTGAGCTGGGACTCTCACTGAATTCAATCAGATTAATACGCCTCCTCTCGTGTCCAGCGTACCCGTTTAATCACCAGTCTTTCTGTATTTTACTCAACGCCAGGAGGGGGCATGTTAATCTGTTATTCTGATTGCGTTTAGGGAGGGTGCCCACAGAGTTGGATCGGTCCATGTTAAGCGATAGTTTCAATGGGAATGCGCCCTATGACACCAAAGCAATCTGACTGATGTTGAAATTGTGTGACTATTATATTTAAGGTATGGATTCATACAACAGCTCCTTACGGGTGTCATTTTTGCTGAAATTACATTCCCAATAAAGTAACTCATTTTTATCAAAACACTCCGCATATTTATAAGGAATCTATAGACAAAGTAATAATAATAAGTAGGATAAATTATGCAATTTGCATTTGTCAATGTAAGCACTTCTATGCACTTAAATTGGCAATAGTTTGTTTCTTTGATGGCACAGTATGAATTGTCTCCCATTGATGCATCATACCATGCATGAAATTGTGCTTTCCATTGAAATAAATGCCATGGCTGCAAATATTGCAAACTGGAAGTAATACTCATATAGCTCTCTGCTGAGCCGATGAATGTGGTACAATATGATAATGCACAAGTCGGATAACGTAAGCTATAGAAATTCATCGCCTATCCAGCAGACAGCATGGAGAGACCGGGAGAGTTAGAAGACAGTCGCATCATTATATTCAGCGCTAGATTAATACTCTTAGCCATACAGTAGTAACATTAGGTTAATGATAGTATTGATTTTGGGGGTTCTGTTTTTCTGCTGCCGATTTGCTAATTATACTGCTTGTGGCAGTTTGGCTCTGGCTCTAATTGCTGCTGGATAGCTGCGGAATACTGGAATACGCTGCATGGCATTTGTAGACGAAGCTCTGCTCTGCATATTTGTTGAGTATTGTGATTAGGTTATTTAATAGTTTGACACGGCAACAGGGCAGTGTTCATTATTCAAGCCAAATACGTGTCTGGGTTGAAAATTTGTTTGCGACATCTTGGCTGAGTAAAAAATTTTCAAGGCGAGACGTCTGTCTGGAAGTGAAGTTCATCATGTTTATGTTCTCAAGTAGGTTCATGGTCTGCATTTACATATATTATGTTTTTATCCCAGAAATGGATAATATTTATGTAATGTGATGTGACATTTTTTGTGGCATTTATTAATTAGAAAACAAACTTTGACGACACGTTTTTTAAAACTATGAATATGTAAATTGGCTAATGGAAATGGAATGAAAATAGCTATTTGGTGTGATTTAATTGTTTTTTATATATCACAAGTTATTTTGTCGGATTCTGTCAGATGGCAAGAACAGCTGTTTATCTAGCCATTTGTTATTATTATTTTTTTTTTTTTACTTCTTTAAATTAGTATGCATGTACTACAAGCATGTTCAATACCTTGGTGTTTGAGAGAGAGAGAGAGAGAGAGAGAGGGAGAGAGAGAGAGAGAACATGTGTCTGCCTCACTAAACAATTTACATATAAGAATATTGATGCCATTGTCTTATTGACGTCAATGAGGGAACACTATCTATATTTCATTATTAATATCAATTCATAGCATGTAATCAAAGGAGAGAAGCATGGCCTTTCTTGTAACCTGAATTCTCTTTTGTTTCAGCCTCCATGTTCCTGAATACACTCACACCCAAGTTTTATGTGGCACTGACAGGTACTTCATCACTTATATCAGGCCTGATATTGGTAAGTGAATATTGGGAGCTTTGAAGAATAAACAGCTATGATTACTTGAAACCAAATTATCTGCTTTTCCACCTGCTGCCTTGGCTGCTGCTGGGGAAAGAGAGCAAGAGGAATATAGAATATAATAAAAATGGAAATCATCCAAAATAGCTTAAGAGCTCATTCAGATCTACTCATTGTACAAGCTGAGTCGGTCCAACTCTCCAGGGGATTCTTGCTAAAGTGCAATCAATGGAATCAGGTTAATTAGCACAAGATAGTGAAATATACCCATGGTAGACAAATGAGCTTTTGGTAGACAAATGAGCTTTTTCCTCTGATTGCACTTTAGCCAGAATCTCTTGCAAAGTTGGAAAGTATGATGCATGACTCTGAATGAAGTCTAAAACGAGACTATAGGCACATCATATGAGATTAGAAAATGTAAGTGTATCTGTAGTAAGTGCGACTGACTTTTTAGCATAAAAAGATGAAACCCCATTTGTGGTAAATGTCGACATATATGTGTATCCTACTCCTAGGCCATTATGTGTGCTAACACTCACAGTCCTGGGGGTGTGAAAGGCATATAAAGTGCATTACATCTTTCTATAGGAAAAAACAGAGAGATGGAGAGAAGTTCCTGGGTATTTGAGTAATTTGCCNGTAGTAAGTGCGACTGACTTTTTAGCATAAAAAGATGAAACCCCATGTGTGGTAAATGTCGACATATATGTGTATCCTACTCCTAGGCCATTATGTGTGCTAACACTCACAGTCCTGGGGGTGAGAAAGGCATATAAAGTGCATTACATCTTTATATAGGAAAAAAAAAAGAGACGAAGAGAAGTTCCTGGGAATTTGAGTAATTTGCCTTTTATCATCTAGGCATGCACCATTAAATGCTGTTGAAACGATTATGATCTATAATTTAACCCATTTTCAAGTTGCTGTTTTTTATCATCATCGGTGAATTCTACCAGTATGTCTCCATTATGATAGTGAGGAGTGGATGAAAAAAAAGGACAGAAGACCTCAAAAATGGATTTATGGATCATAATTTTTGTGAACAGTTTTGGATAATGTATTCATGGTGATTAAAAGAAAAAATGTTGAAATCTACAGGTAGTTTAATTTTTTGCTTCAGACTACAGTTTAATTTTCTGTTTTTTTTTTAAGTGCAGTTAAGTGAACAGTTTTAAAAATAAATTGTAAGAGAAGGATGATACCACTCACAGGTTGATACTGACTGATCAAGGTGACCAAATTAGGCCCAAAAAATCAATTCATAAAGGTGTTTGAGTCAAGTCCATATCCATGAATAGTCAATCAGCAAAGCTAAAATATGTTTGAAGACCAGCACTCAAGATCAAAAATACACCCATCTCAATAAGTATTAACTTCCATTGAGATTCTTAACCTTTCCCTTTTTCTTGATGTAAATTGTATTCTTTTTCCTTTTCCAGATATTTGAATGGTGGTATTTCAAGAAATACGGCACTAGTTTTATTGAGCAGGTGTCCCTGAATCACATCTCTCCGCTCCTGGGGGGCTGCCGAGGGGGGGCCAGACAACAACAACAGCACCAGCACATCCAACAGTTCCACTTCTTCACAGCAGCAACAGAATTCTTCAACACCAGGTAAATTTTAGGAAAAAACTCTTGGAAAAGGGTGGAAATATGGTAGTTAAGGTTTGAATATGATATTACATTTATTTTTGGAGGTGACGAAAAATCAATTTTATCTAATCCATTTGTATAATAGATGTCGAAAGCAATCAAAGAAACACTACACTCCTTTGTTCTTCACAAAATTGTTGGTTTCCATGGTCGCAGGCATTTTTTTAATACCTGGAGAGATTTGCATATTTTCACACTATAATCTATGAGTGTTCTTTAGGGTATAATAAATGACACCTGATTTATGCAATGTTTTTTTTTTTAATTGTCATGACGTATATGATCTTCTATACCAATTTTATTATTATTCATTATCATTATCATCAGACAGTACAAGAGGATACAGAATAAAACATCTCTCATCCTTACAATTTTATTTTGCACTTCATACTCAGAGTGACTATAATTAAACCTACAACACAAATTTGTTTTAAAGTGATTATTTTATATCCGTGGCTTTTTTTGTGAACATTTCCATACTGTTTGTAATCAAGCCGTTTTGTGACAGCATGGCATCAGATCCAGTTTTTTTCGGCTCATTTTGCATTTCGCAGTTTCTGCAGGCAGAGCTGTATGTTCCTCACCTCAGATTCCCAGAGTGCCTTTAGGTAGATTCCTAGAAATGTCACATCTCCAAGGATGCCCGAGTGGCATTCATTGACATCCACTTACAGGGGATAGGCATGGTGTTTGCATGTGATAGTCCTGTAGAAGAGTTTACACCAATTGGACGTATGAATACAGCGAGTGGATCGTTGGGAGGTTGTAATTGATCTGGGATGTGTGGGAGCCAGGATATGATATGGGGATGATGTTTTAGGAGGATGTTGGCATTTGTTGAAGTGGTATGTTTGTGAATGTGTGTGCATACCGTAATGACTGGATATTTTTAATGGACAAAATTGACCAAAGTTCACATGTGTAATTTTGTAATCCACAAAATCATATGCATATTTAGTATTTGTGGTGCTTTTACTGTATGAAATAGAACTACAGAATAAGCTGCTTTTTAATGTCCCAACTTAAAGAAATTATTACTTAAAAATACAGTATCTGTTAAATGCACAAATTTTCTCCATTGCAAATATCGTAGAATTACCGTATTTGAATACCTGCATGTCAGTGTGTAGTGTTATTTAGTGTGGATGCACAGATATGAATGCTGTAAGTGGTTATATCCAAGAGTTTGGAATAAATCTAGGAAGTGTGGGAGGGAAAATATGATTTACTGTGGGTGTGTTATCAGGATATGTATGGATTTAAGGTTATGTGACTAAGAAAGAAGATAGATAAATCCCATGGATTGAGACTTGAGCCTTAATTTATTTGGACTGTACCAGATATACCTTTGAGGCTGGTCTTCGGTAAAACTGCAGAGATACCCAGTATTCTAATATAATTGCAGCTTTACTAAAGGGAACTATATTGAATCTGTTAAGAATTTTGTACATTGACATATAAAAATGCATCACTGTGAGTTTTCTACAACCTTGTCATCCAGTGACACAAGTTTGTTCCATTTTCAGTCCAAAGTTGTCCTTGTCTTAACTCACCTATTTGCCTTGCCTGTTTTCCTAATTAGTGAAGGTCTTTTTTACTCATACATGTAAGCAAATCTTAATTACATAGCTCACTTGAGTAATAACCATGGTACAGAAGCTAGTAAATATCGATACTAAATTCATTTTGCATGTTGCTTTGATGCCCATTTTTCAGTGTTTTGTGTTGATATAATGTGTTTGGCTGATGTGTCTGTTAAAGATCTTTTCGTGACTAGTTTATCAAAAATTACCATTGCTTCTCTGTAATCTGTCTGCTTGATGGTGCAAGTTACACCCGTCTCCCAGTCGAAGTGACGCCTCATCTGCATCATCAGTGACATGAAAGTTTTCCTCTGGGATTGGAAGAGATCATTGGAATGGTGAAGGAAACAGCCATTCCTCCTATTTGTGTTAACAGCCATCAAAAAGCAATAATAATTCCTTTCATCAGTGACACAAATCAATAAACTCTAGCATAGTGAACCTAAACCAAATGCTCAGTTTTCTGATTTGGCTGAAAGATACCAAATGATCAGTTATAATTATTTTTCTTTTCTTTTTTTTTTTTTTTTTTTTTGGGAGGGGGGATTTTTCATCAATCACTGTTTTCTAATTTGGCTAAAGAAATCAAATGATCAGTTGGATTTTTTTTTTTTTTTTCGGAAAATTTGACATCAGGCAGTTTTAAACATTCACAAATTTGAAAAGTCTATTTTATCAAGTTAAAAGGTATTGATATAGCACTTGAGATGTGTCTGGATGCAGGTTTATGATATGTAAAGGGCAACCATAACTGCCAATTGTTTTGGTCTACTTTTTCATGACTATGATAATTAAATAAGAACTACAGCATTTGACAATGACACTCAACAAACATTTTATGTACATATGATAGATATATTAAATATCAACTTATAACATTAATGCACTTGATCTTAATTCCCAGTAACATGGAGCTTACACAAGATTTTAAGAAATATTTTTTAAACATTTTATATAGATTTTTAAATACACCAACTTGCAACAAAGTTTTGAACAGATTTTGATAAAATTTACAGGATCAGTCAGAAATGGGCCAGCATAGAATTGATTAGTTTTTGTTAGTGATCCATTAATAATAATGGATTGATACAATATGAGAATTGAACTGTCTAGGTGGTGGTTTGCCCTCCCTGGGTGCTTTTCTAGTTACTTTTACTGCAGTGATTGCAACGTCCAATTTTTATGTTATATTGGATTTTATTTTATTACAGAGTGTAAAGTATGGCGAAACCCACTGAATCTGTTCCGCGGTTCAGAGTATCAGAGGTTCACGTGGGCCACTGGCAAAGAACCACTCACCTACTACGACATGAATCTCTCCGCTCAAGATCATCAGACGTTTTTCACCTGCGACACGGACGCAGGAAAACAGGAATATGAAGGTAAGTGCTGGAGAGCGTGATGACGTGAGAGATGGAGGCAATTGTGTGAATGCAGATGGATTCATGGGTGGATGGATGAAATGATGAAGAGAACGCTGGAAGGGATTGGCAGGTAGAAGAAATGCTGAATCAAGAATTTTTTGTTCAGTTTGTAACTCAATTTTATTGTATTGGAAAAGTGATCAAATCACTGTGCTAATTTTGTACTTAAATATGTTCTACTTTTTATTTTTTGAAGTAGGTAAAATGAATGATTGGTTGTTAAAGTGTATCTGTACACACACAGCCTTATGTACTGTTTTGAAATTTAGAAAATGTATCAAGTTTTCTTTCATAATTTCAGTTATGCAGATGGCATGGAGAGAAAGAAGTCCACAAGCAAGGGTGAAGGCAGCCAAGGAAGCCTTGGAGAAAAACCCAGAGTAGGTGTAATAATTATTTTCCTGAAAAGGAATATTTAGCTCTGGTATCTTGAGGCATGTATTCATATTTGCTGACGTGAGACCTTTTAGGAAGTCATTTTACATAGCATGTCATAAACATTTGGCATTTAGCTAAATGAGTTGACAACTTGGGTTACAATGTAGTGCTAATGTCCTTTGCCAGTAAGGAGATGCATTGTGTATGTATGATGAATGATTCCATTGAAGACAGGTCGGAGAAGAAAATATGTTTATTCAAAGAGCTCTGTTATGTTTTCTGAAAACACCTTTGTTATTAATTTTTTTTTTTACTCTTCATACACTTACGATAATTGTAATATGTGCCACTGAAATCACATATTAAATTAGAAGTAAGTCCAAATAAATTAGTATTAATGCAGAGATAATGGAATTGTATTCTTTTACAAATGGAATGAATCTCTGGTTGTGTATTACGTTGTTTATTTTCAATTGCAGTTGTGCCCCAGCAATGATTTTATTAGCAGAAGAAGAATGCAGCACTATACTAGAAGTAAGTATCAGCAGTGAGAGGATATCAATCCTGCCCTTTTTTTTTCAGTCAAATACCTTAGAGCATTTAGCGAAAAACACCAGTGAAGCCAAAACAAAATATGAAAATCTGTGAAAATAATATAATAAGATTATGCATATTTTCTACAGCCAATATGAAATATTTAAGTATTTCCTGCAGTGCTTTTAGGTGTAGTTGCACCAGTTGTGACAAAGATATCTAGAAGTTTTTTCCTGCTTCCAAATACTTGTTTCTTAAATGTTGGTTCATATTTTCTTCTTTCTAGGTGGAGAAGATGTTTAAACAGGCCTACAAAGCTGCAGAGACACAGTACAGGAAGAGTCAACAGACACAGCACTATGGAACACAGTATGAACAGAATCACAGTAAGACTGGCTTAAATCTCATGCTAGTGTAAAGTTTAGTGTGTGTGTGTGTGTGTGTGTGTGTGTGTGTGTGTGCGTGCTTGCGCGCGCGCGCATGTGTGTTCCATAAAGGTTATCCTTTCACCTCCATTTGTCCTTCTGTTCGTCACCAGCCTAACTCAAAACATTATGGATTTTGATTAAATGTTCAGGATGGGTCACAAATGGGCTAACTTTTAAGTGTTAAGATTTTGGTGATGATCCCTTAGTCAATTAATTAATGGTTAATTATTAGTTAATAGTCTTGGCAAAGGTCTTCACTCAGTGAGTGCTTTTCTAGATAATGCATGCTTAGATGTTTTGACAGGGTTGCAGGGCAATTGTTTTTAGCATACCATAGAAACAATTTTGTTAATTTGGTTATTTTTAGCACTAATATAAGCCTATCAGTCCATGTCCAACTAGACAAATGTTGAAAAAAAGTTCAGTCTGTACTAAGAGAAACATAATATTGGGCACCTTATGAAGTGACCTCATTTTCCTCTAGGGCGAGACACCAATGTGATGATCTACATCAAGCGTCGTCTATCCATGTGCGCGCGGAAGCTGGGGAGAACCAGAGAGGCCGTCAAGATGATGAAAGATGTAAGTTCATTAAGATTTGTCTAGAATGTGAGAACTGAAAATTGAATGAAAGGTGACTGCTGAATCAATTTTGTTCATGGACTGTCAGTTATCGCAGAACCTTAAAGTTTCACTGATAAGGGCATCGCATACCCCAAGGGGGGGAGGTTGACTTGCTTTTCAACCTCTGGTGAAGATCTTGCATGCTATATGTGATATAAGTGTTATTTGCTGTGACATATTGTATAAATATAGTTATTTGGGTTTGATCAGTGGTTTATTCTTGTCTTTGATAATTATCGCAAAAAATATGAATAAACAGTGTAATAATTTGAGATTTTGATCAAGTCCCACAATAAGTATTACACCTTTATTGAGAATTTTGTAGATAATTTTACTGCTTTATTTCAGTCTAGTGTGTTGTGTATGTCTTGAAGTTTTTATTTATTTAAGTATATTATTGTTGACTTTTTTAGGTTATTTAGATATTAGTTAGTCATAGATAAATTCTGAATATAATTATTTTATAAAAAAAAAAAACTAAGAAAATGAAAAATAACAATTGTGATACCCTGTTATTTCAGCTGATGAAAGACTTTCCTATGTTTAACCTGTACAATATCCATGAGAACCTGATAGAAGCTCTGTTAGAAATGCAGGCCTATACGGATGTCCAGGCAGTTTTAGCTAAGTATGATGGTAAGTCAGCTGCAAACACAATACACATTACGGAGGTAAAATGTTATTTTTCTGATGTACCTGAAGAGGTGTGTAATGTCACTGGACTTGTTCACTGGTGTGTAATTATGTATCTGAAAGTTTGGCAATTTTTGCCAGTTGAAAAGATTTATTACTGTATCGGTTAATATCTATGACTTGTAATTTTCAGATATAAGCTTGCCCAAGTCAGCCACAATATGTTACACAGCTGCTCTGCTCAAAGCACGACAAGTGGCAGACAAGTGAGTTCTAATTAGATTTTCATGTGATGACCCTTTGTTGAATGAAGTTTATATCCACAGTTGATGGAGACCTCTGGTACTTCATACACTTAACAACACTCCACATATCTTGTTGCCAAGTAACCAATTATCTTATTTGTAGCTAGATTGCTTTTAACAGAATGTATACTCTATATAGTTTGAGAATGTATAGTTAGGAGGAAAGTGCATTAGCGGTGTTACTGTGTACTTAAAATAATGGAAGATGTTGAATTAGACCTAGAAAATTTTGTCAGTCATTCTTTGTGTCTTTTAGGAAGATGAAATAATGTAACTAATGATAACGTAAAGCTATGGAAGATGTTGAATAATACCTTGAAAATTTTATTAATCATTCTTTCTGTCTTCTAAAAAAATAAAATAATGTAACTAATAATAAAGCTAAGTAATGGAAGATGTTTGAATAATACCTTGAATAAAATTTCACTGGTCTTTCTTTCTGTCCTTCAGATTTTCTCCCGACATAGCGTCCAAGCGCGGGCTCAGTACAGCGGAGATGAATGCAGTGGAAGCCATACACAGAGCAGTGGAGTTTAATCCACATGTGCCAAAATATTTACTAGAGATGAAGAGTCTTGTCTTGCCTCCGGAGCATATTCTCAAGCGGGGAGACAGCGAGGCAGTCGCGTACAGTTTTTTCCACCTCCAGCACTGGAAGAGGGTGGAAGGGGCCCTGAATCTGCTACACTGTACATGGGAAGGGAGTAAGTTGTACTCGGGGGTCAATTTTACTAAAGACACCTTAATCTGAACAGCTGCTCTTGGTGAAAACAATTCATTTATCAATCTTATTTCGTAGATTTACCTGCTTATTTGTTTCACAAAGAAAAAGCATATTTCATATTTGAAGTTGTGTACCAAGAATGAATCGAAAGAAACCTACTTAAACACATCATGGTCATTTATGTCTTTTAATGAATAACAAATTGAATGTAGTTTTTTTAATTTTCATAAACATGCTTCCACAAACATTCAGCTAAAATAGCAGTAAGAAGGCAAGCAGTTCAAAAATAATTGATATTCAGCAGCCAAATATTTCAAAGTCACTGTATGTGCCAGCTTTCCCTTTGAATCTTGGTAGAATTCCAGTTGTAAAAGCTTACTTTTTCAATTTTCAGCTTTCCGTATGATTCCGTACCCACTAGAAAAAGGCCACCTGTTTTATCCCTACCCTCCCTGCACAGAGAATGCAGATAAGGAACTACTGCCAGGTGAGAAATAATATGTAGATCTGTATGTGCTTGCATGAATGTGCTCACACACACACACACACACACACACACACACACACGTGTACTTCCACACACTTTTTGTCAGTCATTTGAGAGAAGGTTCCTTGTATTTTCACAAGATTCACAAACCAAAATGATTTTCACCTAACATGGAAAAATTACAAAGAAGTTTGTCATATAAAATCAAAAACCAAGCCTTAAACAAATAGTGATATTGTTTTAAATGGTCTATTTATGTCTTCCAGCTTTCCATGATGTTTCTGTCTACCCAAAGAAGGAACTCCCTTTCTTCATCCTATTTACTGCGGGACTGTGTTCATTTACTGCGCTCCTTGCATTACTCACACATCAGTATCCCGAGCCAATGGGATATGTTGCCAAAACAGTAAGTTTTCATATTCGTCTTCCATTTTAGCCAATTTTTTCGCAAGATAGCCAGCCTTTGATCCTTTACCTTATTGTGTTTTCTATTTATTTCATTAATTAAAGTTATGTTTTGTTATATTAATTATTTATTTATAGTTGATTTTTTTTTTTTTTTTTGGGGGGGGGGGTAATCATGC